TTACCAAAATACAATAATCTGGTCTGTTATTTGTTCAACTGCTAGAAATTACATTTTAAAAATTCAGTGTGAAAAACAACCTCAGCGGAAAATACCAACATACTGGAAAAATATTTGCCACCTCCATGTAGATCATGTGTGTTTGTATCTTGCACACTAAGTGTTCCTAACTACTAATGAACTTCAGAAGTCATGTTTGGATCCTGTCATAACCTGCAGTGTCAAGGTGATAATTTTGTGCTCTTCTCCTCTGAACTTCTGGTGCCTTAATACAACAGATTCTGTGCTGAAATGGGACCCAACATGGTTCTGTTGATGTTCAGGAGAACACATGAGGGTTCAATCATCTCCATTCATGAATCTCACATAAACATCACCATGTTCATCTGAACACTCTGAAATATTCCCAACCACCTGATGTCATAAATACATGCATGTACTGACCTGCTGGTACAGAGAGAAATCTGACACAATCTCATTTTGTATTTCACAAACTGACACTTCAGTTCATAAATGATCTTGAGATATTCTCCTCATTTCTAATTTACCATTTGACAGAGAAATGAAACTGTGGTGTGATCTAGTACCATTCACAGTCTTTGTCTTGCTGTAGCTCTTCTAGTTTGGAAGTAAGTTCATGGCTTGTAATGTCTTTAGAGCTTGTAAAGAAAAACTTTTTTATTGCTTTGGTTGTATTTGGTTCAGCAATGTTTTTTTCAAGTGCATTTTTATGAACAAGTCCTTGCTGTGAGCCAGACACATTAGGCTAGTCCTATGTTAACAAGTCTGTTTTATTTAGGCCTATTGTTTTTGTTTGTCTTATAATGTCAATATTATCGTTTATCGCAATAAATTCTCGGTCAATTAATCGTCCAGCAAAATCTGTTATCGTTACAGGCCTACTTTGTACTATATTATTTTAGTTATAACATACACATTTGGAAGAAGAAACCAAATTTGAAAGAATATTATAGCTTTAAAGTATTAAAATGTCATTGATGAAATGGGTCACACATAAAATCCGTAATAACATTTGCTTGCACAAATTATTTATTAAAAATAAAATTTAAAAAATGTAATTAAAATTATTATTATTATTAATTTTTTTTTTTACAAACCTTGGCATAAACATATTAAACTGTTTTCAAAATTAACACAAATTAACTGTATTTAAGAATGTCTTAAATACAGTTTTACAGTATAGCCTGCTTTCATCAAAGCCATTCAGTAAAACCAAGTTAAAGGGCCGTTTTGTCTTTCCTCATGTGATGACATCACTGAGGACCCTGCAGTCCTCTGAAGTGAGCCCAAGATTCAGATTTGGTTTCTTACTTTTTACTGGTTATATTTTTGTCACGAGAAGTACAAATGCTACAATTTTGGATGTAATTTGGATATATATTACATTGCCACTGTTAAGGTGACTGGATTCTGTTCAAGGTTGCTGTGGTCTCTGGGAGCCACTCTGCATCAGCGTTTTGTGATACCTCTCTCTCCCATATGCCTTTCCAGTAGAGCCCAACCGATATATCGGCTGGCCGATATTATCGGCCAATATGGGCACCTGGAGACATACCGGCTATCGGCCGATATGCTTGCTGATATGGGCCGATATTTCACGTGGGCATGTTATATCTCATTATAAAGCTTAGACTCTCTACATTATGTTCATTTAATCCAATTTACAGACAGATAAATGTCCTAATATGTGGCTCCGCATCAGTATTTATCTACGGTGTAATTTGTCTGTGTCTGTGTCCGTACTGTCCCTGAACACACCACCAGAGTGACGTCACTTCACTCGCGTGTGTTTGTTTACACCCACAGCGGTGCGCAACACTGAGATAATTTTCTTTTTCGGACAATCGGTTTGAGTCTGGATTAAAAGGACATTTATTAGTGCAGACTTGTGATGTGAGGAGGAGCCTGTGTGAGTGGTGAGTGTTGGAAATACATTGACTTTGAAGCTAGTTTAGGTTTTGTTAGCAATTAGCTGCTGTAGCTCCCACACATAAACAGGCTGTTTTCTATTGGCCTATTGTAAAGTGACTATATTGGCTGTATATTTGTTACCGCGGTGCGCACGTTTTTACGGCTAAAGGCTAATAGCGATAGTTTACTAGCTAGGAGTTATGGGTCGGTCACGATCGAAGCGGCTCTTAGATCCGGCTCTTTGAAGCGAACAACGGGAGCATGTTTCTTATTGGGAGCCGTGTTTTCTCTTTTTCTCACTTTTTCTCTTCATGCCGCATGTAGACCCGTAGTTTGACAGCAGCAGTGGCTGAAAACGAAAGTTTCAGAAATCTGCGTGTGCATAGGATAAAAAAGTGCATATTTGGCTGCAGTTCAGCATAAAATGAATAAACCAGGACTAATCTTGGACTCGAGTGCAGGAGAAAGATAGAAACCGAGTCCCGACACTCAGTCCTGGTTCAGTCCTGCTTGCAACAAAACAATCTCAAGAGTCGCTTGGGAGCCGAAAGAGCCAGCTGCTTTAGTGAGCCGAGCCGGTTCTCCAAAAAAAAAAAAAAAAAAAACTGGAATCACTAGCAGTGACAGTAACAGTAGCTAGAATGTGATGCAAAAATGCCATTAGGCCAATCTACTGTATGTAAAGAGTCAAAATAACAATAAATGTTGCCTAAATAAACCCAATTTAGAATTCACTAGAGCCAAACCTAAGTTTTTTAATCAATTCAAGATTTACAGTGAATTTTTACATCACTAAATATATCGGTGATTATATCGGCTATCGGCAGCTCCAACTCCCATTATATCGGTTTCATATCGTCCACAACAAAATCCATATCAGTCGGGCTCTACTTTCCAGTAATGTTCAGTCTCAGCCTTGGTGAGTCTGCTCTGGTGCGATTACCCTTTCATTGAGTAAACACTTTTGCAGGTTGTGTTAGGTATAGGTATGGCTGGTTGTACTTCTTGTAATTAATGTCTACTGGACTGCTAAAAGTGACCTCAACAGCAAGATGAGGGAGGGAGGTCACACACTTCCTTTTCATGTTTATGGCACTGAAAAACTGGGTAAATACTGTACTGTAAATACTGTTAGCGGGCTTTCACCTCTACAAACAGTATCAGCAGATACAGCTACAGTACGGGAATCGTATTGGAACTGAAAAAGCTGGATCCTTGCATCCAAAGTTATAAAAAGTATCTATCTCCATGAAGAATCTTTTACTTTTTTATATTTAATCACACGTGTGTTTGTGTCTGTTTTGACTGGCCTATGTGAAGAACCTTGTGTCCCCTCTGACTGGTGTCAGGCCTACACACAAAAAAAGACTGATGTGTTTTTCAAGGCTTCATGTGCCAGGCTCTCACCGACTCGGTCTTACACTGTCAGCTCAATGTCTCACAGTCAGGGAATATTTTATCAGGCTGATCAACATTATTGTGGCTTCAGTGACAACAGCATAACTATGTAAAGAATTTGGCACAGGTGAGATAAGCATCAATAATAAAAGCAAGTGGAGTATTCAAATGAGTGTAAGGACACAACAACATGCTCACTACAGTATAGGAGGCCTCCTCTTGTAAGATCATGGTTGGAGATCTGGAAAAATGTTCCTTGGTGGTGCATTTCCAGAAGTGGGAGTGCACCCAAAAAATGTGTTAAGAGTAACGCTGCTTAAAAATAATGTTACTGTTAAGTAGAAATACAAAGTAGTGGTCCAAGAAATTACTCAGTTAAAAATGTAAAAAAATATTTGGAAAAACTACTCAAGTAAAAGTAACTTAAAGAGGAACTGTTGAATTGAGACTTATGATTAATAATTTGAAATTAATGTAATTTGAAGAACAAAATATAAAGTACAAAATTTGGTATTTTCAAAGGATAGACCCAAAAGTTGGACAAACTAAATCATATCTGAAGAAGCGCTGCAAGAACCACAAATGTCTAAAATATATCATTTCATATTGTCAACATAAAGCTTTTATCACTTGTAGACGTGGTGAGAAGAGTAACCACAACCTTTACTCAAGAGTAAGAGTACTGTTACTTCAATTAAAAAAAATACTACTCAAGTTGGAGTTAAAATATGCTAGAAAAGTACTCTGAAAAGTACAATTTCATTAGGTAATCAAGTACATGTATCTGAGTACTACCCACCTCTGCTTATTTCAAGTAAAATGAAATGAAAAGAGTGCAGCCATTGTTCCTCAGTATGGGATTACACTTATTGAACTGATCTATCTTGTATTTATGCAGTCACTCAGTTACATTATAATTTCCACATGTTTATTGCTGTTTATTTAGTGCCTTTCTAGCGCTGATGTTACCCATTTACGCCACAAGGTGGTGCTGTGTGCTCATGTATAAGTGGTCAAAGTAAATGTTCAAAGGCTCAAATATATATTTCGAACAATGTGGCTGTTGTGTGACAAGGAAAATCCTGAACTCTCTTAGAAGATGCCTTTACGGGTAAGGGTTGTGTTCATGACATGTGAACTGCTCCCTCTGTCATCTTATAAGTTGTTTTTGTATGTCTTTTTTTGTTTTTTCTCCTGACAGGTAAGGCCATTGCAGCCTTTGCAGTGTGGATGACATAAGACAATGCATCACATTTGTTTTCTACTTTACGCACTGCAGTTGTGCCCTTGGGCAAGACACCTCACCCAGTTTGACGATGAGCAATGAATCACAAATTGTGGAAGCAACAAGCAATAAAAAGGATAAGGCCACAGTGCAGCACAGCATAGCCACGTATGTTGTGGCATCTAACGCCCCGAAATAAGAAGAGAACAGAAAGAGGTGTGTAGTCTAGGAAATAAATAGTTTTAGATATTACAATAAATTCTAAAGCAGAAGAAACACATTAATAAAACAGTTTCATAAAGGCATAAAGACCAACTCCTGATTTTAGGTCTAATAAGAAATTATTAATTAGTTTAGTAAAGAAAGCAGGTTCAATACGAGCATACTCCAAATAGAAGCCTGTCTGACATCCCAGCAGCAGCACGGGGCTTTCTGTGAGCGTTACCTGCTGGAGTCATGACGCCTATGTGGCTGGATGAGTTTCCTTTCCCAGGGTAGAGGGGTAAAAATACAACCGTCACAAATGTCCGAGAAACAAAAGCCGAACTCACAGTAAACGGCGCGGCGCGGCAGGGTCCGGGTACCCTGGTCTGCTGAAGACGTGTGTGGACACGACGCTCCGAGCGCACGGAGAATGCGGAAACTTCACTTCCTCTAACTGCCTCTCCAGAGAGCCTAAAGGGAGGAGAGATGCGGCAGCTGCACCAGAGAGCCTAAACTGAGAGAGAGGGTCACCTGCACCAGAGAGCCTATATAGCGGGGAGATACATCACCTGTACCAGAGAGCCTCCCCAAAGTGGCACACCACCTGCGCCACAGACGCCCTGTAGTCTCTCTGGTGCTGGTGACGATTTCCTTTGTATCTTAGTGTGAAGGGTCTCTGGTGGGTTTTGGGTTGCAGATTTTAGACTCCAGGAGCCTAGGGTTTTATTTATTTATTTATTTTTATTTTATTTTTATTATTTTTTTGATTGCACTGAAAAAACACCTCTACTGTAGTGTACTGTAGACAATAGCTGTACATCTGCAAAATATGTTGTTATTCATTGTACTGTGCATTTTCATAAGAGGGAAAAAAAATCTATAGACCAGTAATCTTAAACACAGATAAGGGCAGCTAAAATGAGGAAAATCAGGTTTAACATTTGTGACTTTACTTTTTGGGTATTTCATGGCAAAGTACAAATGTAATCGATAGGGAAATGCGGCTCTTGAGCCCATCTGGCAGTATGACAATCACATTCTAGAATCTGAAAACTGCTGATCCTTTTTTCTCGCTTTACAGGGGTGTCTACAAATCACTCTTGAACTCTTATACCTTACTCATTGTTATGAAGTTATGAGTTTCTCAGATGTTATTGTGTGTGATTTTATTAAACAAAAAGTTCAATAAGTCATGCCATTTTCAAAAATAATTTACAAACCCAATATAGACAACAGTGCATGTGCAAGTGGTGTGATGGGCTTCAGAGTGCCCACTACTGTAGTCACGTGCTATTAAAAGGGGACTGAACATTTATTCATGGATCTTTGGACTTCTTTGTATTGTTTTAAGTTACTTACCCCAAATGGCAAAACATTGAAAGGAGAGATGTTATGCAAAATTACCTTGAATGATCTTAACTGAGTTTTCCCTTATCGTAAACATACTGCAATTCTGTGGAATCCTGCAATTATGGCTTGGGTGCTCTCTGCTTATTTACCTCCAAAACTTTGAAATATTCATTGTATTGATACACAAATGTTCAAAAAATTTTAAATTGATTGCTACATGAAATGCCATTGAGAAGAGACAGGGACAGCAGCACAGTTCTGCACTTTTAAAAAGGAAGCAAATTAGTTTCTGTTGTCAAGTTGTTAGCCTTAACCCAACCTTAAACCTTAAGAAAAGATCCCTATTTTACAGTAAAGTGTAATATTCTCTACAAATGAGATGCACATTATTTAACACCAGAAAAAAGCACGTCTCTTTAAAGTGAGACTAAACTAAGCTCTGCGGCTAACCATTTCAAACAGAGCTGTTCAACTGGGCAAAAGTGAATGAGGGGATGAGTGAGGGGGGAGGACGTCCAGGGTCTGCGGTATAAAAACTGATTGATCTAACAGCCAGGTGTTTCTGATTACAGTGTTGTGCACCAAGAACTTAAAACTGCAGTTTGGACTAAAATGACAAAAAAGCTATTGGACAGTTGATGGTGTTCAAACAACATACAGTTTAGCCATGTTTACTTGTACTGGTATAAAAAACTAAATTTTAGTCTGAAAAACTCTTCAAGAATAAAATTTTGCATAATATTGCTCCTTAAATGCCTTTGACGGCCTGCTCAACATGAAAAGGTACAAGATTAGATTCTGCTAGCACAGCTCAGTCCATTAGAACACACACTGTTGCTGCCGCAGACACACTACTTGGCCCCATGCACACATCTATACCCACACATCTCCACAGTTCTGTAGAAAATCTGTCATTCCTGTAATTACAAAGTATTGAAAATATGTCCAATAGAAGGCTCCTTAGATGCTCAGCTGCTGTCCTCATCGTCCATCGGGGTGAAGGGCATCAGTTCTTCTTGGCTTTGGATGAGTCATACTTGCGTTTGCTGGAGTACCAGAGGAGCAAGGGGATGCCGATGGAGGGCAGGGTCATGACTCCAAACGCAGCCCAGTCCAGCTGCAGCATACAGGGACATAGAGGGTGGTTACTCAAAGAACCAGCTAACCTTTTCCATCACAATAACATGATGAAAGAAACTGCTAAATACACAGATTATTAAAAATTCTTGTATAAAATAGCACTGTCCTACATACTACAATTTCAACAACAAACTCAATTTCAATACTAATTTCAATAGCGCAGCAAAAAAACAAAAAAAACAAAAAAAACACACACACAATGGAATGCCATTTTCAACATTAAATCGTGGTACTTTCAGTTACATTACCATGTGGGTTTATATATGTGTAATTTGTCAGATTCCATAGTACTTCTGATGCAGCTTCACATCATTCTAAATCTATTCAGGAAAGGTTCATTTCTGTCATGTCAATGGGACTTTTTTGTATAGCTAGCTTAGATAGCTGCTTATACAGCTGCTTATACAGCTGCTTATACAGCTGCTTATACAGCTGCTTATACAGCTGCTTATACAGCTGCTTATACAGCTGCTTATACAGCTGCTTATACAGCTGCTTATACAATATATTTGTACTGTGGTATGAGATTTCGTTCAGTCACATAAAAGCAGTGTGTGAAGTTTTTCTTGCAGATGGTCAAATCCAAGATTTCTACTGAAAATTCTTAACATTTTGCAACCCAACAAATTGAATATAAAAATGTTACTCTGGAGCTGTGCCTTACGTAGTGGGGGGAAAAGCGGCGGTCAAACTCCCTCTGAGCCAGGATACCACCTTGTCCTGGGGCACTGGTGTATCCCACCTGAGACAGGGAGACGGGGCATGAGGAGAGGAGAGAGGGGCTTGTTAGGAGGGGGGAATGACGAGAGGGTGAATGTGGATAAAAGGGTACTACCCACACTCTACCATTTGACTCGGGACAGACTTACCACGACAGGCCCTCCTTCCTGTGCCACATAGCTCACTGACGCAGATGTGAAGTTGAAGTAGCCAGCCTTGAGCGGCCGCAGCACTACTGTATGAGACACATTACTGGCTCTGAACAAGAAGGTCAAGGGACAGTGAGCACAACAGGTTACTGGCTTTATAAACTGTAGATTTAAAAAGGGTCCTATACTATGCAAAATTGGCTTGTGAGCTTTTAGTTATGTTTTAATGCTGTTATCGCATCAAAAACATACCTGGAGTTGTGTTGTGTTTCATTCACACGTTTGATTACTCATAAAGGAGAATTCAATCGGTCTACATCTCCAAAGCTCAAGATGCTCTGTTCTACCATGTGAGGTCATGAACCAGTAGTTTAAGTTAACATCTCCTTTTATCTTTAGTTCAATAGAGTTGGGCAATTCCAGGACTGCAATTAGAGTTTTGAAATGAATGAAACTACTCTGAAACACCTCTGAGCCAGGTCAGGCCCAGAGGTGTGAAAGCATCCATTACAACCCTGAATGATTATGCTAATCAGTGCAAGCTCAACAGCCCTAGTTAACGAAGAGAAACACTAAACAAGTAGCGTGTTAGTTTCAGAGTAGTTTCAATTTAGTTAGTTCCTCCCTTCCAGCAGATAAAAGGCAGTGTCTACAAGCATCTTTCCAGAACTGAAGAAGCAGCTTGGATGAGCTGTGAAATATATTCGACCAAATAAACTTTTGTCCAGATGACAAACTGAAGTTCTCATTTTGAGATTATATTAGATTTTATTAGATTTTTTAAAACGTATTTATTTTTATATATAGATATATATTTTATTATTATTATTATTTTTTTTTTTAATTTAAAACTCTCAGAAGATGACTGTTGTCAGTTCTTATGGAAACTTCTAAATGTGACCCAAATTCTAAGAAAACCTTTTTTTTTTGGAAAGGATACGGAGCAATCCTGTCCCATTTCACATTAAGCATTCCTGAAACTATTCCAAAGTCCTCCGGGGGAAAAGAGTCATCAGATAAGTCCACTTCAAGAGCAGCACTGAAAAACAAATACAAGATTTAAGATGTCATTTTCATTGTCATAGAAAACAACATTTAGGCCATCGTTTTGATGTTAAGTATCATCCCAAAGGTGCAAGACCCCGTCCAATACACACACTTTATTCATACTGACAAAACTTTAAAAGTTCTAAGAAACAATGTATTGTATATAATATCAAATCTTCAGCCAACTCAAATTACTCACTTTCCTTTCAACTATTGTCCCATCCTTATAGTTTAAATAAAATGACTAGCAGCTCAATATACATTTTGGTCAAATAACACACCAATGACTAATCAATCTAACCAACCAAAGCCTACAGCCCTACTAGTGTTGTCATGACACAAATTTTTCAAATTTGATTTTGATACGAAGCAAGATACTCAAAACGAATTTAGATACCAAAACAATAATTAAAAAAACACTCTTTATTTAGACAACAGAATGTGATTTCCAACATTAAATCATTAGTACTTTTCTATTACCATGCTGTCTTACACCTGTGTTTTAGCTCAATCAAGCATAGTGGTCTACTTGTCTAAAATTATCTTGATCTGTATCAGAAGTATAAGATCACATACGTAAAGCTATTCAGGAAAGGTTCATTTCTGTCCTGTGAATGACTTTTTGTATTGATACCTGCTCAAATTAGTCTAATTCAGATATCAATATTCAGATCAATAAGTATCTGATTTTCATTCGTTTCAACAAGCCTACAGTATACTTTAACTTTTATTTCCATGGCATATTTGACATTGTAATGGTACTCTTACTTGAGTAAAAGTTTTGATTACTCTTCCCACCATGAATAAGTCCGTAAGTAAGAAAAGGTCACACCACTTTTTTTTCCATTTTTGTGTCTATCCTTTGAAAATAACACATTTTGTGGATTATTTTTTATGTTTTGTTTTGTCCTCTCAAGTACACTTACATATACCTCAAACTATAAATCAGATGTTATGTCAAGACTTACTTGATAATACTTTACTCTATATTTGAGCCACTACTTTGTAAAATGGTTAACTTTTTATACATCGCTTTTACACATTTGAGGCACTCAAAGAGCTTTACATCAAGGAACCACCCACACACATTCATACACCAGTGTGCACAGACACAAGTGCAGAGGAAGGTTAAGTATATTGCCCCAGGGACACAACGACAGCATTCATTTGTGGGAGCTAGAATTACACCACCAACCTGTGGGTCAAATGCTCCACAAATTATGTCAGGTGACCGAGAGTGGGATTTGAGCCACCAATCTTCAGATCAGTGGGAAAAACACTCTACTAAATAAGTAGGCCTGCGGTGGCACAGCACAGTCAGTCGTGCGGTCCTCTCTCACCTGGAGCCCACGTTGTAGATGTTGTACTGCAGGGTGAGATCTCGGCCCTCCACGGCGTAGCGGTTGAGCAGAGATTTGGAGGCCAGGAGGCGAGCGCCGTCCTCTGCGGTGCAGAGGCCGAGCAGGGGCAGGAGGAGCGAGAGGAGCAGCGCGGTCATCATCTGCACAAACGAGAGGGGAGCACAACTTCAGCTACTACTGCCATCACCACCAGGCAACATCTACACCTTTAACCTTCCCGATACGTCAACACATATCGGAATCAGCGGCTGGTAAATGCCACTGTTGCTCGAATTAAGTGCATGTTCTATATATTGTGAAGCCTTTAATATAACATTTAGTAAAACTGTCTTTCTTGAAAAGACTTCATCTTTCATTCAGCCTCTGGAAATTACGCTTACGTGGACTTTGGGAATCGCATCCAGAGAACGTGCACATAAAGCTCAGTTCTAGATTTCTACGGTTATGAGAAAAAGTCACTTTTAATATAATAAATCTCCAGAGCTATCCCAGAATACCCTAAATATTTTCCTAAATGACAGAAAAATGATGGAGCCTTACCTTCAGCGCGTTCTCTTCAGATAACAGAGTTGACAGTCCTCGGTGAAGCATGCGCACAACTTACATCCACTCCAAACATGACGTGTCCGATCCCCTCCGCTCTGCGCATGCGCATCATATCGGCACAGCGCAGCGCCCTCTGGAGGTTAGGAGGAGGCGGTGTTTGGTTAGGAGTAGAGCGTCTGTTACTCATTAGTTTAATATTGCGTATTCTTTGCTCTTTTGACTGTAGCCTGCAAAAGCTTAAATAAAACACTCCTGTTGTATCTATTGCTTTTATCATAGACATATAGCATCACTAATTCAGTGTTCAAGTTTTGTAGTTTTAAACTTTGTGACAGTTCGTGGGTGGAGTATTTGGAGCAGCTCTAGGGTGTGGCGCGTATCCACAGTCTGCAAACAAACTGCACATCAGCCAGGAGCAAGAGTGGTTCTCTCCCTCCGCCTCTCACTGCGAAAAGCCGCACGGTACACGGCTCTTCTGGGAACCTGGTCCTCGTTCCACTTGGATACGCACATTCTTTAAAGTGAGCAGCAGCAGCAGCGCCCCCTCACAGCGCAACATGCCGCAGGTAGGTAGTTGTCTTTTTTTTAAGTATATAGCTATGTGTGCCAAAACTTTAGAGCGCATAGTTGTATCGCCTAAAGCTGCGTGTGGAGAACTTTATCTCTTCGGTCTACTCTGATCTATGCTTTAGTTTAGAACGCGAGTTGGGCCACAGTAGGGCCTATGCGTCATGATGAAGGAGACGTCTGGCCACACGGTTATGTCTGTTATAGTTGCCCCTGTGTCTGTTCTAGGCTTAAGTAGGGCCTAGACTAGGCATAGACTAAGTAACTATCTTTGCCGCCCAGAAAGCCTGTCTTGGCATGTGCCATGCTACTTAAGCAAAGGCGCGGCTCCGAGGCGGTCGGGCCACATACATGAAATAACTGTCGCAAACGTGCCAACGCTGAGCCGCAGGGACCACGCTGTCAGCACTGGGACGCTTGACGCATGACAGAAGTTGGTGGTAGCAGAATCCCCACCGGTATTGCATACATTGTGTCACTGGGCAAGGCAATTCGTGGCAAGCCACGTCTTGGTTTGCCTAGGCAGAAGTTTTATTTATGATGTATCATTGCAAATAGAAATTGAATTACTCATAGAATGCATAAAATAATGTGTTTCCATCATGTATTCATCACTCCATGGGGACCAAAATCAGGCTCCCATTACTCAAATAATGTATTATTTGAATATATTAACCCACATATACTGCCAGTTAAAGGTTTGAACACACCCTCTCATTCAGTGTTCCTTCTGTATTATTTACAACTTTCTACCTTTCTACATTTTAGATGAATAAACAGACAGAATAAATATATGACGTTTATATATATATATATATATATATATATATATTTTTTTTTTTTTTTTTTTTTTTTTTTTCTATTCAAAGTATCCTCCCTTTGCTTTGTTGACAAACCCTTGGCCTTCTGTCGGTGAGCTTTGTGAAGTCTCCTGAAATTTTTATTTTTTAATTCAAGGTGTGCCTTATCAGGGTCAAGGGATGTCAGGAGTGTAAAGCAGTGATCAAAGAAAAGGGTGGATTTGAAATGTGTCATTCATAGTTTTGATATCTCCAATGAGGATAAATGCAAAAGTGTGTTCAAACTTATTGTCTGTGTGCAGTACTCAGACCTGGAGAACGCCATCCACACGCTGGTGTCCAAGTTCCACTCTGCCTCTGCCGACAAGAGCCCCACCCTAAAAACGGATGAGTTTAAGGGCCTCCTGTCTACTCAGCTACCCAACCTGGTTAAGGTAAGGTTTTGGGCCCTACAGAGCCACAACGGGGCCTCATATGAGGTCATGTGACCTCATATAGCTTACTCCAGAGCAATTTTATAAATTACATACACTGTACTAATGTTGATGATGTTCTACTAATCCCTGTTCTTCCTCTGTACTGCTCCCTGTTTTGGTTCCTCTGTACTGCTCCCTGTTGTGGTTCCTCTGTACTGCTCCCTGTTGTGGTTCCTCTGTACATGTTGACTACTTGCAGCATGTACTCTGCAGTCTCTTTTTATTTCTGTAAATCAGGGACTGCAGATGGAAACTAGCTATTTTAGCTGTTATCTGGTGCGGAATGGCTCTGTTTTTATTATCTTAATGTCTCTGTGTATTGTCCCTTCAAATAAAGATTAAACTACTGTTCTCTGTTCTAGTTCCTCTGTACTTTTTTCTATTCTAGTTCCTCTGTAGTGTTCCCTGTTCTAGTTTCTTTGTACTATTCTCTGTTATGGTTTCTCTGTGCTGTTCTCTGTTGTGGTTTCTCTGTGCTGTTCTCTGTTGTGGTTTCTCTGTGCTGTTCTCTGTTGTGGTTCTTTTGTACTGTTTTGTACAGTTCCTGTTCTCTGTTATGGTTATGGTTCCTCTCTTTTCTGTTGTCTAAAGCTTCACCTGTTCATGTATTGTGTGTTCTCAGGGCATTGGCTCAGAGCAAGGTCTGTCAGAGATCTTGAGGAAGATGGGCGTGGGCTCTGGAGAAGGCATCTCCTTCAGTCACTTCTGGAGCCTTATCCAGCAACTGGCCACATCTCAGCACAACATCCTGAGTCAGGGTGCGGGTTCAACTTGCAGCTGTGCCCTGCTGTGAGCCTTGGGGCCCTGACCCCACACCGTCTTCAACAACCGGTCCCATTTACTCTACCACCTCTGCATTCCCAAACACTAACACAGAAACACACACACAGGCCCCGACAACTGGCCTGAACACCCCCCCCCACACACACACTTATATACACATGCACACACAACTGTCCCGACAACACAGCACACCCCCTTTAGCCCTTCACTCTCTCCAGCATGTGCTCCTACCCCGTCTTAGCCACTCACTGCCACAAACTGCTTCACATAGTCACAACCAGCAGTGCTACATTTAAGAACTAATTGCGAGCTTAGTAAATATACTTTTTGAAATATTTTATTATTACCAGCAGACAATCATTCCAAAGCATTTTAATGAAAAAACATGGTCTTTCTAGCATTATACTTAAGGTTGAGTTTAATAAAAGTGTTATTCTAAATAAATTGTGAGTATTCAGTTAATGGAGTTTGACTATTTCTTGAATAATGGCAATTAATATGGTGGTTTACAATACAGAATACAGAAAAATGAATGCTATGGTTCTGCTGGGTGCTGTTTGGTGCTGTTGTGTGCTGCTTGGTGCTATTGGGTAGTGTTAGGTAGTGTGTGCTGCTGGGTCCTGTTGTGTGCTGCTGGGTGGCATTAGGTGCTGCTGGGTGCAGTTGAGTACTGCTCTGCTGCGTTGGGTGCTGTTGGATGCTGCTTGGTGTTGTTCTGTTCTGCTGGGTGCTGTTGAAGTTGTGTCATGGTTGAACACTTTCTGGGGATGTGAGGATACATCCAGTCTTCAGCTTTTTTCCCTCAGGGGTGCCTCTGAAGAACTCCAGGTAGGACGCAAAGACATACTTATTCATGACCTTGACGCGGCCGAAGATCTCCAGCTCTGTCTGTTGGTCATGGTCCACCACACTCATAATCTGCTTGGCCTGAATGTACAGTGCATTCTCTTTGGCCACCACCTGTTCCAGCCATATTTGCTGCTCCTGTGGAGCCATTTCGAACTCTGTAATGGTCCCGCCATAGAAACCCCTGCGTGGGTGCCTGGGCCAGGGCACCTCACTCATCATAGGGTGCACATCCCCCACAAAGGAGGTGCATACATGGGAGTCCACTCCATGGAGCAGGCCCACCTCACAGCTGATGGTGCTCATGAGGAAGAGGGAAAAGACCCGGAAGTTCATGACTGACACAGAGAACACAGCGACCATGAAATACTGTCCCCACAGCTCACAGTTGTAGTTGCAGTGGCCGAACTGGAAGGTCTGTTTGCAGAACTCATGGAATTTTGAGGCTTTGAGGCCCTGCTGTAGGCTCTGGAGAGTGCCTGCCTTATCACTGAAGCTCTGCAGGAACTGCTCCTTCTCTGCTGCAGCATCAGCCTGGAGGAACTTCCCCACCAGACTCACACTCAGGTTAAACCAGTGCACTCTATAAACACAGTCATTGAGAACATAGAGCAGGTTGGAGGACATCTCTTCTCTGGCACTGTATCGGATTTCCACCAGGAGGTCTTGAATGTTAGAGATATGTTTGAACACTCTTGTGGCCTGTGGAGGTACGCTTAGCCATGTGATGGTCAGGTTTTTTTGGTCTTGTTCTGAAGAGAAATCAGGGGCACGGCGCTTCTCACTCTCTTCAAAGAACAGACTCCATGTCAGCCCTTCCAGACAGTCAATGCATGGATACTTCTTGCGTAGGGCCTTGGGAACAAACATTTGGGGATGGCTGGGCCAGTCTAAAGTCTGAGAGAACAACACAGGACCCTTATATTCCCTGTATAGGGGGCCAGAACAGCCCAGCTCACCTCTTCTCCAAACAGGCTTGAGGCCCAGTTCAGCAGTGATTTGCTGTCTGAGGTCATGAGATGTCCACCGACCCTTTGTATGAGTGAGAATGTCCCCTACTGGACTGACCGCCACAGGGGAGAAGAAGAAGGACACTGTGGTGTGGATGTTTCTAGACCTGAGACTGTACAGTATTTTAGATGTGAACTGTGTGTGCCGGCCCAGGTTACAGCTCAGCACTGTGATGCTGCTGAGCCTGCCTGGGAGAGTAGATAGGAGAGCCCAGAGCAAATGGATCAGCTTATCTGCGGTGTATCCAGAGAGAAGAGCACCCCCTGTGGGAGTGGAAGGACTGGGGCCATGACCCAGCAGGCTGAGCTCATGCTGCACTGCTGAAGAAGACAGCACCCCCTTAAGGAGCTCAAAGGTGTTGTTGTGAAATAACAGAAGAGCTGATGTAGAGGAGTGTCTCCCAAATAGGTGCAGGGCTGATTGAAGCACTCTGCTCTCCTCTTCCATTGCCACAATGATGTGCTGCCTGCTGGGAGCAAACTGTGGTCAAGCTGCATATCACTTACTAAGCACATACTCGTATATACTCTCTGTGTCCAATATATGTAGTAACACTGTATTATTTTTTATGTATTTCTTTAGCAAGTTTTCCTTTTATTAATTCATATCAAAGGCACAATAAACATATGTACTACCTGACAGTGGTGTTTGAGTGGACTGGGATGATCTTCTTCTCTGTGAAGACAGGCACACAAGCTCAGATGAAGGAGGACATTAGGTGAACCAGGTCAAAGATGGTATTTTATAAAAGTGTCTTACCTGCAACAGAAAGGGCTTCTGATCTCAGAGTGATGCCCAAGAGCAGCAGGTACAGCGTAGGAGTCATCTCTGCCCACGTCTCTGTGCCACACTGTGTGCTATGCATTCATATCCACAGTCATTTGTCTAGATAAAGAGCAGCAGCGCACTCTCCCTGTTCTATATTCAAATCCTCAGCTCTCATCAGCTCCGACCTTAAAGACAACATCACATCGGAATTACTTTTGTGACCCAGTACTAACATCCACGCATTCTCTTTTGTCTGATGACTGTGAAAAAAATTACTAAAACTACTGAAACGATTTGACGCATTTGACCAAATACTGATATTGAAAGAAATGAGTCTATATGAACAGGACATGGGTGATGGAGAATAGGGGATTTTCTTTATCTTAACCAGAACTATATAAACCCACATTATAATTATTTACAACAGATTAAAACGTACTAATATAATGGCAATCCTGCCCTACAAAGCAAAAGGCATTAATTCTCCAGAGTGTGAAACTGAGAAAAATTACTTCAAAGTTTTTATTTTGTCCAGACCAAAGTAAAGTAGGTAGAGCTCCCAACATTTGACAACTAGTTGCTATAATGAAGAAATATTTGTATGTGAAAAGTTGTTATTTTATATTTGTCAGTTCCTGTACTCATCCTTTGTATCATAAGCCAAAAATAAGGAGCGGTGCAAAGGCCAAAGTCAGTAACTGGCCTGATCATTATTTGCTTGATTTTGCCCAGACTTCCATCCATTCTAAGAAAAAACATCACCAAGCTCCAGTCATCATGTGATTGTTTGAAATGACATAGAAGAGCTTTGGATTTCCTGTTTAGTGCTGATCAGGATCGTGCGGCGACACTTACACAGTGAAACAGTTTAACACAAGTGACTTTGCAGTAGAGTGTGTACAGTATGAATAAATACACACAATACTTTACATACATTAAAGATCATTGAAGTATAATTGAATTCAAAGGTTTATTTACTGAATGTGTTCAGGCCCTGTGCCAAGGCTGCAACAAAAAGAAGGAGGCAAGAGGTTTGACTTTAAAATAAAATATATTTATGAACTAAAGCACAAATAAAACATACACTGTTACTGCCGTTTGCCTTTGCATGACTCCTTATTTTTAGCTCATGATACAAAGGCAGAGAACACGAACTGACAAATAAGGGTCAAAGGTCAATTTTGAGCTATTTATTCACATGATAAAGGAGCTCTCAAGTACAAACAAAATGACATGAACTCATTTTTGACCAAACATGTTATGCCTTTGTAGGGCAGCATTTCTTTATTTGGCTTCTGTGGTACTGTAATCAGTATCAAGCCTTTCTCATTACATCAGATTTAAATTTTGAATTTTAGCACACAGAGTATTTTGCGTATGAGAGAAGAACCCTTCCTAAATTTGCAGGGTTTGTGTGTTAAACATGTGTGAATGAAACAAAACATAACTCCAGGTCTGTTTGTGATGAGGACACTCCATTATAACATAGATCTGAAAATAAAATAGTGTGATATGGGCCATTTAAAGACAGAGCTCCAGGTTTGATGCAGGTGACAAAAGCCTTAGCCGTTAGCCTCTTGCTTTTCCAGGTCATGGTTAATCCTGGTCAATCTTCTTAGTCCTTATTAGCGATGCTGCTGCGCGGCCTGTTCTTGTGCCTCACATGCAGCCCTCTCCTGCTCACTGCACAGGTGTGAGACAGGAGCAGGGGGAGCAGCCACCCGCCACTCTAAACAAGCCCATCACACTGTTCGGGTGAGTGCTGCCTTTTTTCTTTTTTTTGTAATTATTATTCTTAATTTATTTTAGAGCCTATTTTACAAAACAACTCCTTGTTTTGTAAAATAGGCTCTAAAATAAATTAAGAATAATAATTGCTCTCAGTCTGAGAGAAGAACACATTTTAAATATTGCAAGGTTTGTGTGTTAAACATGTGTGAAGTGAATGAAACAAAACACAACTCCAGGTCTGTTTCTGGTGAGGAAACAACATCATAACATAGATCAGAAAATAGCGTACTATGGGCTTTTTTTCAGTTTCATTTATAATAAAACGATTGGGAAGTGGGAAGAGTACCGCTACACTCATTAATATAATTATTCACATTTGCTCAAACAAAGAAATCCTACATAAAGTCAGATCTTATGGATTCAAATAATCAGTCCATTTTGTTTATGCTTCATAGAATTTGTCCCTTTTCCATTTTGTAGATCAGGGGTCTCCAACATTTTTCCTCCGGTGAGCTACCAAAAATGCCAGAGAGCTTCTCATTTTAGCAGCTGCAAGAAATTGAGTCAATTATAAGAAAGAGGGCAAGCCTTGGGGTACAATTAGAGGCCTATAAAACATAAGTTATTGTCCATTCATTAGTGCACAAAGTTGGGCTTCAAAATGATATATTTACAATAGTAATAGGCAAGTCATTAACAAAATTTTTGTTCTTCAGTACAACAGTATAATTCCCTTGGGAGCTACTTTAAAGGGAATGGAGAGCTACAGGTTGGAGACCCCGGTGTAGATTCTAATGTCAGTCCATTCATCTGTTTTACTGTTGAACTAGAATTCACTTACTTACACTTACTAAACACATACAGAGAGTCGGTCTGTTACAAGCGGAACTCAAAACAACATTATATTTTAATGCAAATAACTGCTTTGCTGAGCACTTGCTCTTGCTGCAGAGAATGCATGGCATATATAACATTGCTTTAAGAGATCTAACCCAGTGACCAGGTGCCAATATCCAGACATGATTAGGCCTATTGTGCTTTTGCTTTTAGAGTAGTACTCAGTTACATTTACTTGAGTACCTTTTTAAAGCAATTTTACTTTTCGGAGTACTTTTCTAGCAGCATACTCCTACTTTTTTTTTTTTTTTTTTTTTTTTTTTTTAAGTTTCTTGAATAAAGGTTTCGGTCCCTCTTCTGACAAAAGCTTTATGCAACAATATGAGATGATTTGAATATTTGTGTTTGTTGCAGCATTCTATGATTTAGTTTGTCTAATTTTTGTGTCCATCCAAAAATCCAAACTTTGCACATTATTCAATATTTTCTTTTGTAAATCAGCTACTTCCAAACAGTCAATTTTACTTAAGTCATTCTCCCAAATACTTTGAATCATTTCTTGGATGACTACTTTTCAGTTCTACTTCACTAGTATTGTTTGTTGTAACACTACTCTTACTTGAGAACAAGTTTTGGTTATTATAGTTATTTGTGCCAGATCTGCCTTTCCATAGCACTACTGTGGTACCAGATACCTCTGTCTCTACCTCTCCTCTTACAGTGGAACTGTGTGCACACTTGAATAGACAGTACCACAATGTGTTCAGTTAAAGTAGGCCAGAATACTTGACCGAACTGTCTCAAACCAAATAGAACTTTAATCTCTGCTATACAATAGAGATTTATTATTAGGCTACAAACACATAGGACATGATGGTCAAGTTGGCGATCTTATAAAATTATATTTTGCTTCTCAAGATAATTACTTGATCAGAAGGTAGAATGAATTTCACATGAGTTCCTCAGTTGGGTTGCCAATTCAAATTCTCAAATCCAGTTAGTTTAAATCTAAAAGTCCTCTCTCTGACCTGAATGGTCACTACCTAAACCCCAGCCTCTGCAGCTCAGGCAGGGAATTCTGGAGGTTCTGAGTATTCAGTTGTCACTGTTCCACCAGTTGTGCCAGTTTGACCCTGTTTGTCCTTGGGTAATTTTCGGATTTCACTAGGCTGAATGCTCTACTTCCTCTACAGTGTTCTTAGTCATCATAACATAAAGACAGTAAACTCGGCTTCCTTGCCTCTGCTCTCTGCACTGAAGACACTGTAGCCCAGTACCCTTCCAGCTGTGGAGACGCTGTAGAATTGAGATTATCCAGCCTCTTTGTTAGCTGTAATAATCAGGCTTTCCTCTGGAGGCGCTCGATCTGGACGGCTTGAGGCTCCGTATAGGTTTGTTATTGTGCTGCATGCTTGTGGAGAAGTGGGGGAAAGGCCGAGAGAAAAGCCCGCTGCTCTCGCATTGTGCTCCAACTCCCAACCACCTACGTTGCGTGCGTACGGACCGAGTGATTGGCTGATTCCCTTCCGCGTCAACTCGGGGTCAGTTACGGACTTGTTTCAGCTTTTGTCCGCTTTACAGGCTTTATCTGTGCGAACACACCTGACTCCGTGTCTCTGCTTGCGATGGGCTAGGGCTGGCGCGTCGGCTTACGGGAGAATTGTGCGCGCATGACACACCATTCCGTTCAAAACTTGGGTTACTCCAGCGCGTGCACGTCTGTTGTGGCAGTTTCTCATTTTCTTCACCCATGAGTCTAGTCCACTCAAACCAAGAGGTAACGACTCTCTTTCCGACTTTCTATTGTTCAGCGCGATCAAATTGGAGTTGGCGCAAGTGTCAAGTCGCAAAGGCTGCACTTACTGTGATAACTGAAAAATCTTTTGGTGCCTACTTCAGACCTCTACAGTGGCTCTTGAATGTATTATTATTGTGCACCTTGAACTGTAGCCTTCAGTTCAGTGTAATGTACATTGTGATGTGACTAATTTGTCTTTTCCACAACCTCTGTATCGGGCCAGAGTGCTCCTCTCACAGTCCCTCTCTTCTGTTACAGGTCAGAAGATGGTCCAGTGTCGGGACCAAAGCACGTGGCGCCCCCAAAGCTCCCTGACCCTCTGTGACCCTGCCTCTTCCTGCCTGACGACCTGTGGTCCTCCATCTGTACCCCTCTCTGACCCTCTATATACCCCCTGACCGCTCTGACTTCCTCTTTGACTTTCTGTTTTCCCCTTTGACCCCACTGAACCTCCCTTTGACTGCCTGTACTGTCCTCTGTACCCCGACCCTCTGTACCCCTCTCTGACTCCCCCTCTGTACTCCGCTGACACACCGTGCCTCTGTATCCTCTCTGTACACCTCTGTGACCCTCTGTATCCCCCTCTGAGCCCTTTTATGCAAGACCATTGATGCAGTGGTCAGAGATGCAGAGGTCAGAGCTGTGTCTGCTGGTGCTGTCTCTGCTCCTGCCACAGTGTGGCAGTAGCGTCACACCCAGAGTCTCCTTCTCATTAGGTCAGTCCCACACAGTCTGTGGTTAGTCCACACCACTGCAACAATCAACACCTCACTGAAGATCATTAACAAATCAACTGTTGTTATATCTGACAATTGGGACTAATAATACATTGGATTTATATAGTGCTTTTCAAAACACCTAAAGCACTTTACAGTGAATGTTTCATTCACTCCACACTTGGTGGTGGTGAGCTACTATTGATACTCTGCAACTGATGTCATCAACATTCTCTGGGGCTGTGATAATAACTGTTCTGAAGCTCTGTTACCCAAGTTACATTTTAATCTGATCTTTATTTTGACACAATCTGACCATAAAGAACTGACTAAACTGGAGCTGATGCTATCAAACAAGTCATTAGCCACTTTTTGTTTTTGGTTTTCAGACAATCTTAAAACATTTTTTTTGCTAGTTAATGTGTGTATTTTGTCACCAACTGCTGAACACTCCTCTGGAGTAGAGGCACACAGGCAGAACACCTCTAACTTGATGTCACTTCAAAGTATTAATTTAGCTACAGCTGCCCCGGAGGCAGGCCACCACCACATCTGCACACACCACAGTCATACTAGGCAGTGTGGGGGAAGTGCCTTGCCTAAGGATACAACTAGAGTCTCTGGCACCCCACTGTGGCACCTGATATTTCCAGAGGTCTCTTATTGCTGGAGGTTTTGTCACAGTTGGGGCGATATGGTGATCTGATCCTGTGTCCATGTGCAGTGTAGGTGACATGGTTATGTTGTGCTTTTGTGTATTGTCAGGTGTATATTTATCGTGTGTTAATTCCATCACTCACCAAGAACCATAATGTAAACAAGGGCCAAAACTTGATAAGAATGACACACTAGTTAATATTAGACACACAAATAAGTAATACCTTTATTTTGAAATCAAAGTTTAAAGAAGAAAAGAAAGAGTACAAAAATACAAGATGTATCAGTGAGTTATAAAACTAACTCACTGATACATCTTGTATTTTTGTACTTTTCTTCTCAACGTTTTCCCCCCAAACTGCCATGTAACTTATGTAAAACTATGATCCATATTTAGCACAGGTACTATCCACCAAACCAAGTGAGGATTAGACGAACATGAAAATCTGACATATTTGCTTTAACCAGTCACAATGAAGTGTGAACTCCCAAAGCAGCACATGGCTGGAATTTCCCTTCAATGTTGTTGTTTATTTGTGCTGACAGAGGCTGAACTTTGTGCCAGATTTTGTTTCAGATGGATAGGCAGCCAGACTTTTGCAGCTATAGGCATGCAAGGTTATTGAATGAGTTTATTATTGTAATTAAATTACAATTGAGTTGTCAGTGGTTTTTAACATATTTATTCTGTCTGCAGGATAAATGATTAAAAAAAATAATAAGAAAAAAAAAATTACATAAACTTTACTTTTTTAACAAAGGTGTATTACACTTCTACGGGGTATTAATTGCTAATGAATAATATATTTAGAGCACTAGTTTACCTTTTAATGATGCATTGAGTCCTCCCTCCCTTTGTTCTCCATGTTAAATCACCCACCCTTGCTATCACAACTTGCATGCATTTTGTGAAACTACTGCACATTGCATCAGGTTTGTTAAGCTGTAGTATATTACCTTGTATCATGTTGTTGTATATTTATGGAAAATTGCTGTATGCTGAGGGCTGAGCTTTGGATAGGATTGTACTCCTAACCATAAGGAAGATAAGGGCCCAGAAGAGATTGCTAAATTACAAAAACATGTATGGATGATGTGTGAAACTTCTTCAGGCAGCTTTTTGATAAGGGATCATGTCTCCATGCTAATTAGCAAAATGTAAAAGTAAAATGACATGAGCATTTTATAACTATACATAATCCTACCACTTACTATTTTGCTAAAATACATGTGCATTTGTGGCTCAGATGAAGCATATTCTAGCATCCCTCTAGTTAACAGCTAGAGAACAAGTCAGAATGGTAGAATTCTTTGCTGTTTACCTGTCACATTGCAGATTTGTTGATCTTGTTTATGGTTAATATCTCTGTAACTACTGGCTCTATCCACATGAAACAAAAACTGTCACAAAGCTCAACCTCTATAAACATAAATCAAAAACAAAAAAGTTTTTTTTAATAACTTCAGAACATGGTGCCATTATTCAATCCCAAAGTATATGGAGCCAATCCAAAATAAATATTATATTACAAGTTTCGTTATTTCTTTTGAAGTGAATCTTCCAGACAGTAGACCTTGAAATTAAGACCTCATCAAATTTGAGAATGTGAATGCAACCCATTATGTCCAATTACCAGGGGATTGGTGGTTATCTAGCTCTTATCTCTCATTCTATAGCTCTATCACTCTGCTGTAGTCAGGATTCATTCACACTGTGGTGGTAAGAGACTTCTGTAGCCACAGCTGCTCAGAGAAGACTGACAGAACTGACTCTCTAGACCACCATTACCAACACACACACACACCACATTCATGGTAGGCAATATGGGTGAAGTTTCTTGCCTAAGGACACAACGAGAGTACTGATTGGGAAGTGGATCTCCAATCTCGGGTTGGTGGAACGAGAGCTCTAACCACTGAGCCACCAATTCAACAGCCATCTGAAAGCATAACATCATATGGCATTCTACTATTCATTCAGGTCAGATTTCAGTCTTGTCTCAAACTGCTGCTGGATGTGTTTCAAATGGCAAGGCAAGTTTATTTGTATAGCACAATTCGTACACAAAGTAATTCAAAGTGCTTTACAGAATAAGAAATACATTAAAATCATAATAAAAACAAATCAAAACATAAGTAATCATGAAGATTAAAATTAAAAAAGAGAGACATAAATTGGAGAGAAGAGTGCGGAATGAAAACCTTTCAGTTATTTGCACAGTTAAACAGAAATGTTTTGAGCCTGGATTTAAACGGCGTCAAAGAAGAGTGTGTCTCACATGTTCAGGAAGACTGTTCCAGGTTTTAGCTGCATGAACCTGAAACTCTGACTCCCCTTGTTTAGTCGTGACTCTGGGCACCAGCAGGAGGCCGGTCCCTGAGCTCCTCAGAGTGTGAGATGGTTCATATGACACTAACATGTCACAGATGGACTTTGGTGCTCAGCCATGGAGAGACTTGTACACAAGCAGAGCTGCTTTAAAGTTTATTCTCTGAGACCTGAGCGCAGGACTTATGTGCTCGTACTTCCTAGTTTGAGTCAGGACCCGAGCTGCAGAGTTCTGGATGTTCTGCAGCTGTCTCACAGCTCGTTTGGAGAGACCAGTGAGCAGAACATTACAGTAGTCTAACCTACTGGAGACAAACGCATGGATAAGTTTCTCCAAGTCTGCTTTAGACAGTAAACCTTTGATTTTTGCTCTGTTTTTTAGATGGTAAAAGGCTGCAGATGTTATTGATTTGATGTGGCTGTTAAAGTTCAAGTCTGAGTCCATTATTACCCTGAGATTTCTTGCCTGATTTGAAGGTTTTAGAGAGAGAGACTGGAGGTGACTGCTGACACTGTCCCTTTGTTTCTGTGGACCAAACACTATGACTTCAGTCTTGTCAGAGTTTAGCTGGAGAAAGTTGTTTTGCATCCACACACTGATCTGTTGGATGCAATGACCAAGTGAGTCCACTGGTCCATAGTCTCCTGCTGAGCACTGTAAACTGAGGATGAGGAACAATAAAATCATAAATCAAATGTAGCCTTTGTGATTTCTCAGGAATGATGCTCCATGTTTGTGAATGCAGGTAGCCCCGGCCGAGCCCTGACCTCCTTCCTCCTTCATGATGTCCAGAACTGCACCACTCTACTGCTGAGCCCAGACCACCACATACTGTATGTGGGAGCGCAAGACGCTGTGCTAGTGCTGGACGTTAGACACCGCCAGGGCATCAGTCTCATACGAAAGGTACACAGGCAGAAGGTTACAGGTTTAATCTCAGTGGAGTTTCCCACCACATCTAAACTGGTATAAATCAGGTCTAAACCATTAAGGCAGAACTATATACAGTGCTCTAAAACTTAAAGGAACACTTTGAATATCAGATTTCAATCTGAAAAAAAATCTGTTGGTACAAATATGGACAGGGCAATGTCTTTGGAAGAAAAGGATGCCATCTCTTTTAATGGAAATGAACAACAGGTGCTCTAGAGCGGCAATGATGAGACAACCCCTAAAACAGAAATGGTTTTGCATGTGGAGTTCTTACCATGTAAAAAAAATGGCAAACATAGAAAATTTTAAAATGTTTATTGACTTAGAATGTGCCTAGTGCAGTTTAGTTACCTGTTACAAAAAGTAAGAAAAGTAACCATGTTGTTAGGATGGTGCACAAATATTTTAGGTTTTTCTTCCTAGTATTTTTCTATAATCAAAACACATATATTTTTGTATTAGATGTAATTGAATATTTGTCATCACTGTTTAGATATTGCTAACTATTACTAAACAATAAAATAACTTGCCTGTACTTACCTGACCTATCAAATGTTCTCACCCAATTAAAGGAGGTGGCCTACAAAAGGAGCCAGCCTCAGCTTATCCAGGTGGAAGGAGCTGTGTGTGCAGGTTGCAGCCATGCTCATTTGAGGCATGTCCATGGAGGGACGCAAAGACCTCTACAGGCTAGAAAACAACCAAACATTTGACTGCCATTAGGTATTGGAATGAAATCCATGAACACACTGTCAGACCCTGCACTGGTGCAGTAGGTCCTGGGTTCCTCCTGATGCACAACAATGTCCTGCCTCATGTGGCAAGAGTCTGCAGGCAGAACCTGGACGATGAATGGGATTGATACAACTGAATGGCCCTCACGATCACCTGACCTAAACCCAACAAAACACCTTTGGGACATTATGTTTGGGTCCATCAGACAATGCCAGGGTGCTCTTCAGACTCTACAGGAGCTCAGTGATGCCTTTACACAGATCTGGGATAACATCCTACATGACACATTAGGAGCATGACATAACATTGTCAAACTTGCATAGAAGCACATGGGGGGCACACAAGAGAAGCATTTTGAGTTGCAGAAACTAAATGTTGACAAAATGGACCAGCCTGCCACATCATTATTTCACTTTGATTTTCAGGGTGTCTATAAAATGAAGCCCTCTGTAGGCTGAAAATGTAATTTCCATTAAAAAAGGGAGTATCTTTTAGACATTGCCCTGTTCGTATTTGTATAGATACTGTATCCAACTTTTTTTCACATTGAGATCTGATGTGTCTTCAAAGTGTTCTTTAAATTTTTTGAACAGTGTATACGTTGAGACACACCGTAGCTACAGTATTTTTTTTACCCAAAGGACAAAAGTGTAGAGATATTGGACTCTAAACTAAGCAATAAAACTGGCAGCACCAGTTTAAGAGCTACCACTTTTTAAGAACTACTGAGGAAAAATATCACATTATTTGAACTGATACCTTTAATGAATATTTGTATTACTACAACTTGCTAGTTTATGATGTAATGTAAGCAAAATAATGAACAACTAAACCTGTTAGTGTGTAGAGAAGGCTTTCGTAGGCTGCAATCAAAATATTATTCCATCCTATCCCTCCTTCTATCCACTATACAATATTGTCATTGAAGAAGATGGTAACAATAATAAGAAAGAAGAAAAATCTTTTGTAATTTTTCTGTTAGTGTGTATCTATGAAGCTGTGATCACTATCCTTCTCTTCACTTGACCTCTGTACAATGATGAACTATAGGAGTGGTTATTGGGCCTTTTTCTGTACCACCATTAGATTTGCGCTGTAGAGATTTGTATAAATAACCTGGTAGCAATTTATTTTAGTGTATGCATATTAAAATTTAACTAGATGCTCTTTTGCATATTTATAAGTGTTTAATTTAATATTACTGATATTTAGTATTGATTCAACCCTTTTTCATGTCTGCATAACCTTACCCTGCTGCTAATTAGAAATGTACTAACCATGTACACCAAATTGACCACTTTATGCAAATCAGCAGTTAGTTCGATATTAATAAGTGGACCCCAAAATAAAGAGTTATCAGTAACTCATTATAGATCTACACATTTTAGATACATTTAGTATCTAGTGACTTTTTGGGGGATAATTCTGCTTTATAGTTACTTTCAGTATTATTGTTTATCATCTATATATGTTAGCCATATACCACACTTCAGTATGATCTTGAGAGGCTAGTGGTTATATAAAATAGCTAAGCAGTTATTTATCTTAGCACTTTACATGTATATTTGTATGTTGGTGTTTGCAGTTGGAGTGGAGCCCTACGGAAAAAGACACTGAGGAATGTTCCATGAAAGGCAAGAGAGTGGTGAGAATGTCCAAGGCTCCTGCTTACTTACATGAACTCTTGTTGCTATGGATCTCAGTGTAAAAGAGTGTAACAGAATGCTCTTCTGTACAGGAGGACTGTGCCAACTTCATCCGTGTTCTGGAGTTCCTGAACAGAACTCACATTTACACATGTGGGACATTCGCCTTCAGCCCGCGCTGTGTCTACATCGTGAGTCTGCTGCTGTCTAAGCCTGTCACATTAATAACTAGATCGACTTATTGTTCAATATTCGTATGTACCTTTTTGTTTTTTGCACTGCTTTTGCACTTTTGGTAAGGTTACAGTCATATAAGGTTGAATTAATCATTTCTGCGGCTCATTACTGATGCAATTTAAGTATTGAACTTTTTCATTCTGCTGTTATTTATGTATTTATTTATTTTTTGTTTGTTTTTTGGTTTTTATATTTAAATCTTTGTTGTGCTTTAAATCTGCGTTTCTACCTCTAAGTAGGTAGCTAAGTAGTTAGCTATGGACATTTGAGATGCTGTTTGCGGAGAGAAAGAGCAGAGTAAGAACGAGGCCATTCCTATTGTGTTTGCCTGGTTTCCCCTGGAAATTGCTATGAAAATAGCTCAACTAATTTTTATTTTTATTTTTTTATAGTTTTAAATGAAATGCTCAATGTAGCCACCCTTTGCTTTGTCTCCAGTGCCACATACCCTTGGCCTTCTCTCTATGTGCAGATGAATTCATATGACACGGTTTTCACTTCCTAGCCAAAAAAAAAAGTTAATCTGCTGACCCTGCCTGAGGGTCCAGTCCATAGTCCATCTGTTAAACTGCACCTTTGAGACCTTTGACTGAGACACAAAGGTGACAGAGAAGTGCAGTGGAAACGCTGCTGCAAAACTGCAACAGTTTGCTCCAGCAAAACTTAAATTTCCCTCAGGATCAGTAAAGTTTCTCTCTGTCTCTCTGCGTCTCTTTCTCTCCTTCTCTCTCTAATGAGTTTGTATAGGTTTGACTTTCTGAAATGAGTAAAATATTAAACTTTTTCATTCTATTCCAATAATTGGTGATAGACTGTACTTCAGAAATATATCACACTTGTTATTGTGACAGGGTTAGTTCTGGCACCACTCCTCCCTCCCCACACAAACATGCACGCATATGCACATCAGTATAGACACATACACACACACCCCTGTATGGCTCTGGTCACCTCCAGCCTCTTCTCTTCCCCAGGACACGGAGACACTGTCCATGAGCCAGCGGTCAGATGAAGGAAGAGGCCGCTGCCCGTATGACCCGTATCAGCCCAACACGGCCATTGCTGTGGGTAAGGGACACATCTGAGGACTCAGCCCCCTTCAGTGCCCTCAATGTCTTGATAGAAGATGGAGCTCACTCTCTCAAGTGCCGCAAATAAAATTCCAATTATTATTTTTTTCCATAGAATTTGCGTTTTGCTGTGGGCTACTCAGCAATACACTGCAACGAATAAGCATAAGACACAACATTTTATTTATATGAATTATTTCAAAACAAAAAAGCACACATATTATGTAAAATGCTCTTTATTAAGCTTTAAGACATGTTGTAACATGTCTCCCTCATCAAACACGTACCTGGAATTGTATTTTCCCAGTTTTGTGATGTAAGAGGTGAAAATCGCTCCTCTTCTGTCCATCAATCAAAATCTGAGCATTTCTGCTCTCAGATGCCTTCCATTAATACTGCACACTTCTATTAGCATGTCTGTCCAAAGATTTAAAACATTAAGGCCAACAGTGTTGGGGAGTAACAGATTACATGTACCGGAGTTACGTAATCAGAGTACAAATTATGAGTAACTGTATTCAGTTACAGTTACTGTTTCAGTGAGTGGTAATTGGATTACAGTTACTTTGTTGAAATAAATGAATTACAGGGCGGTATTTTACTGGTTTCACATTTTGGGCTATATCCCCCTAAACCAGGACTAAACCAGGACTAAACCAGGAATAAACCAGGTCTAAACCAGGACTAAACCAGGACTAAAACCAGGTCTAAACTAGATCTAAACCAGATCTAACCCAGGTCTAAAACAGATCTAAAACCAGGACTAAAACCAGGTCTAAACTAGATCTAAACCAGGACTAAAACTAGGTCTAAACTTGATCTAAACCTGATCTAAACCAGGTCTCAAACAGGTCTAAAACCAGGTCTAAACCAGGACTAAAACAGGTTTAAACTAGGACTAAACCAGGACTAAAACCAGATCTAAACCAGGACTAAAACCAGGTCTAAACCAGGTCTAAACCAGGACTAAACCAGGATTTGACATTGATTTAACAGGACTAAACTATCAATAATATTTTTTATACGGTTAAGTAAAGTCTGGGCTTTTTATTTTCTTTTAGCAAACAAAACATCTTATGTTACAATATCCTAGTCTTTGCTTCTCTACAGCAAATCAAGTAATCCAAAGTATTCAGATTACGTTACTCACTTTAAGTAATTTAATGGATTACGTTACAAATTACATTCTGGGGTATGTAATCTGTAATCTGTAGGGGAATACATTTTAAAAGTCACCTTCCCAACACTGAAAGCCAATAACAATACAAGTAATGCATAATATAAATTTTTTAATAAACCACAAAGTTAGATAGACATTCAGCCACAAGATAATGGGCAATAATGAGTACAAAGCTTGTCAGCCTGCATCATGCTTTGGTTTTAAATGCCAAATGTACTGGAGCGGGCAGGATGGCCGTGATATCTATCTAGATGGGAAATTACAGCATAAGTGATAATGTTATATATAGATACTGTATTTCCTCATTGGCACTTGCCTCGATGAGTAGGAGCTGAAGAGATCACAGTACAGGGCAGCGAGGACACTGGACAGTATGGCAATGACAGTGAGTAAAGCATGCAAAAATTGTAAGAGTAAAGTAACTTCAATATAATATTACTCAGGTAGAGGTACAAAGTAGTTGTCCAAGAAATTACTCAAGTAAGAGTAAAAAAGTATTTGGGGAAAGAAAGAGCAATGTAAGTGAATGTAACTTACTAAATTTAGGTGAGTAGTACCCACCTGTGATGTATGCCATGTGCTTTGTCTCAGAGGGAGAGCTGTACACAGCCACAGTGGCAGACTACAGAGGGAACCGGCCTGTCATCTCTCGACACCTGAGCGAAGCCGCCCGCGGGGATCTGAAGCTAGACGACACTCTGGGCTGGCTGGAGGGTAAGTCTGTTTAAAGATCCTTCATTTAGTCATTCATCATTGTTTTATTTACTTTGTCTTTAACAAACACACAATTGTACTGAAACAATCTGTCAAATCCTGTGTGCGGCCGGCAAGCGTTCACTACTGATCGCTCTTCCTTGGTCAAAAGGAACAAAGTCCAGTTGCGACTTCTGTCTTAGAGAAAAATGTTTCTGAGTTCGTGTGGTGGGGAAATAAATATTGTGGAGCGAAAACAACAGCTTTACAGACAAAATAAGGCTTAAAAAGCAAATAAATAAATTTTGCCTGTTATGTTGCTTATAGTGCTGCTTCAGTGCTACTCAGAATGTTGAGGAGAGTTTTTCAAGCAAAATGATGTCAGTGCAGAACTTCTAATGAAGGGGAGGTGACTCTTGACACCTGTTTTTGTGCAGAGCCCACGTTTATGCGCTCCATGTTTGTCCCAGTGGAGGAGAAGATCTACTTCTTTTTCAGTGAAGTTGGGCGCGAGTATGACTTCATCGACAGGCTCCTGGTGTCCCGTGTGGCTCAGATTTGCATTGTAAGCATTTCACACCATGCTTTAGTATACATTGGCCTGTGTTACGGTTTTGGTATGTTTGGAGAAAAGGAGTTGCTCAGAGAGTTAACACTTATTAAACATATTAATATATGTATATATGTGATCTAAATGTCTTAGCAGTTAAAGGGACAATTCGGAATTTTGGACATAGGACCTCATTTCCTTGTGAGCCAGAGTGCTGTAGATGTATGGAGACACTTTTGAAATAATCCATCCAGTCCTTGTATTTGGAGAGGTTATTGGTGCTAGTCTAGCTCAAGTCAATGGCCACTGTTGGTCTTATCCACTCCACAAAACACCCGAGGCAAATCTATTATTACACCAGACTGTCCATGGAAAGGTTTGTGTCCATAGAATCATTTTAGAAGTAAAACCAACCTTGCATTTGAAGTCTGTTATGTCTGAGCAGCAGCAGCAAGTTGTACTTCCTGATAGAAAGCTCGGCAGCGGCGGAGTGATATCACCTGGCGCCATGTCCAAACCAGCAACTTAGAAGTCATAGTTTTCTTGGGTCTCTTACTGGAAAGTGGTGAAAACTTTGTGGTGCCCACCTGCTGGCTTTATTTTTGCAATTGATAAATGCACACTGATTTACCATGTTGCCACATCATTTGTAATCCACTGATCAATCCAACTGTAGTGGAACTAGCTACAACGGGTCTCTCGCGACTCTATTTTGAAGTGAATTGATTACATCACAACTAACTATAGCAGAGTAAAATTCCACTGCTGAGAAAATAGTCCCTCAACATGCAACGATTCATGCGATGCAAGGTTAATTTTACTTCTAAAATTATTCTATCAACACAAACATTTCCATGGACAGTCTGGTGTAATAATAGATTTGCTTCGGGTGTTTTGTGGAATGGGTAAGACCAACAGTGGCCATTGACATGCACTAACCTAGCACCAGCAACCTCTCCAAATACAAGGACTGGATGGATTATTTCAAAAAGTATATCCACACATCTCCAGCACTCTGGCTCACAAGGAAATGAGACCCTATGTCCAAAATTCTGAACTGTCCCTTTAATACCCCATATAACTGTTGTAGCCTTCTTTAAACCTCAATATTTAAGAACTCCCCACAACGCAAATAGAACCTTATAATTCTAAGAGGATGTTTTGACACTGTCTGGAAGAGGCCAGTCTCCTTAAATGCCAAACGTGTTGACCTGGATGCTTAAAACTTCTTCAAGCCCTAGTGGTCACATCTGGCAATGATAACTTTTTATAGGCTGTTACTGTCTCAGCTGTGATGGTGAAAGTACAGATATTTAAGTTTATTTGAACATTTGAACTTCAAAAACAAAATGTCTGATGTTCCTTGTGCTCATGTCCCATGTGCTGATATCCCTTTTCCCATGCGCAGAGTGATGTGGGGGGACAGAGGACCTTGCAGAGACGCTGGACAACATTCGCCAAAGCTCAGCTGCTTTGTCAGGATGACGGAGAACTGCCCTACAACCTGATCCAGGATATGGACATCCTCCCACCAGAACAGGGTGCTGCTCCTGAAGACACGCTTTTCTACGGTGTCTTCACCTCTCAGTGGTGAGCAAACAACACAGGACTTACCCACACTGCACTTGAGTGAGATCTTAGTCCTACTAGAGAACAGGACAGCTGTCTCTGTCCCTCTGACACCTCTGTCTGCTGATACCGATATGTACTGTGTGTCTTTGAGGACTGTGTCTCAGAGCTTGTCCCCTGTGGTGGGATTGTGTCTCTGTCCTCGAGTAGCGCCGTGTCTGAGCTTGTTTTCTGCGGTAGGATTGTGTCTTTGTCCTTTCTGTAATTTAATGGGACTGTGTCTTCCCTGTCCCCTCTGTTCCAGGCGGTTAAAGTCTGGTCTCTCGGCCGTCTGTGTCTTCAGTCTTGGCAGCTTCAGGTCAGCATTCTCTGGGAGTTACAAAGTCCTGAATAGGGATACGCTGCAATGGAGCTCGAGACTCCATGAGAAAATAGCCAGTCCTGGAGAGGTCAGCTCCATCATACTCTTACTTTTTTAAGAGTGGGGTATTAACTGCTAACACATAAGATGTTTAGATCACTGTGTTACCATTTATTGTTTTGAATATGTTTTTTGCTGAAAACAACATCACTTTTGTGAGTCTCCCCTCTCTTTGCTCCCTCATTAAGTCAGTCCCCTTCAGATCACATTTCACAACATGACACAATCGCGTGCGTGCCACTAATGAAATACGGCACATCGCAACAGTGAGAAGAGGAACCAAAATGTATACTCCATGTTTGCTCCAGTAAGAATACTATACTATACATACTGTACATACTCACTCTCTGTAGGTGGTCTCATCCAGCTTGGGTCCTCTACCAGAGACCTGGAAGTTTAAGGTTTTTCTGCAGTATCTTTGCTATTCCTGTACTGCACTTTTTTGGAGTGAGATGTCTAATGTTTTTTCCTGGGATCTGCTGTAGCCTCTTCCAGTTTGGGGGTTACAGCCACTAGTGCTCTGATCACCATGGGCACCACTGATGCCTTCACCTTCCAGATCTTCTCCAGCTCTTCCTCCTGGTATTTCTCTAATTTCTCATGTTCCTTTTTCCTGATATTACATATCAATATGCTTGGTATTGCAATGGCTTTGTTTTTTTTTGCTTGTCCAACACCACTATGTCTCTTTTTTTTCCACCATCATCATTCTGTCAGTTTGAATCTGGACGTCCCGCAGGATCTTGGCTCGGTTGTTCTCCACAACCTTTGGAGGTGTTTCCCACCTTGATCCTGGGGTCTCCAGCCCATACTCTGCACAGATGTTTCTGTACACTATGCTCGTCACTTGGTTATGTCGCTCCATGTTTGCTTTCCCTGCAGCATCTTACACTTGCAGTTCTGTGCTGGACTGTCTCAGGAGTCTCTTTGCACAGTCTACCCCTTGGGTTTTGTCTGGTGTGGTTGATCTGGGCCTCTATTGCTCTGGTGCTCAAGGCCTGTTCCTCTGCATCCAGGATAAGTGCCTCTGTGCTGTCTTTCAGACCAGCTCTTTTGAGCCAGTGGTAGGATTTCTTGATATCAGCCACTTCAGTTATGTTCTTGTCCTGCCATGAAGATACTGAAGTGGCTGATATCAGGATATCCTACCAGTGGCTTGCGAGGGCTGGTCTGAATGGCTACACAGAAGCAGGATTTGAGTACCCGAGCAATAGAGGCTCAGATCTACCACATCAGTCAAGGTGTAGACTGTGCAAAGAGGCTCCTGAGACAGTCCAGCTCATAACTGCAGGTGTAAGATGCTGGCAGGGAAAGCAAACATGGAGCAACATAACCAAGTGGCGGGCATAGTGTACAGAAACATCTGTGCAGAGTACAGGCTGGAGACCCCAGGATCAAGGTGGGAAACACCTCCAAAGGTTGTGGAAAATGACCAAACCAAGATCCTGTGGGACTTCCAGATACAGACTGACAGGATGGTGATGGCGAAACAACCAGACATAGTGGTGTTGGATAAGCACCAGAGCAGAGCCGTGGTGGTGGACATCACAATACCAAGAGATGGCAATATAAGGAAAAAGAAACATGAGAAACTAAAAAGAATACCAGGCACCCAAAGAAGAGCTGAAAAAGGCTTGGAAGGTGAAGGCATCAGTGGTGCCCGTGGACATCAAAGAACTCAGTGACCCCCAAATTGGGGGAGTTACTACAGCAAATCCCAGGAAAAATATCACACATCTCATTTCTATCATGTTTTAATGTTCCCTCATCAAAAGCATGCCTGAAGAGGTTTCATCCATGCATGTTTGAGTAATCTACTTATCTCTCTTGGGCCTATTCAAAACTCAGCATACAATCCAATCATCCATGCTCCCGCACAACAGTTTCAATAAATGTACAAAAGGAAGATACAAAGTAATACACTCCAACTTAACAAACCCAATGTGCAGTAGTTATATTAGCGGAATGCATGCTGATAATATTATGATAGCTCTGAAAAGGGAGTGAGAAACTGAAAATAATTAAACATGTTAATAGTTCTGTGGCCATACTGACTTGTCAAAGCCTGATCCCGTCAGATCTCAGAAGCTGTAGTGACTATTTGTCAAATAAAAGTAACAAACAAAGCGGTGAGCAAACTCAGAACTAAACATAACTCAAATAATCACCTTTGGGCACCATGGGTATGTGGTTTACGCAGTACAAATCAATGTCCATGACCAGAGCTGATTTTCCAAGATTTATTTTCCATTTTTTTGGCAAGCAACAAGGAATACATGTTGAAGGCCTACTTCTGCTGCCTCTCCTCTTGACTGGTAAAAAAACATAGGTCCACCCACGTGCACTCTGGTCCATGTGTACCACCCTCCTTTATCCCCTAGGTGACCCAAATTAAACCAAAAGCAAAAAGGTGCTAACGTAAATAATACTAACTTAGACTAAGAAATTAGCAAGAATAATCTTAACATAGCAAAAATATATTATGCAAATTAACAAAACTAAATTAGTAAGCTAATTAAACAAACAAAAATAATAAACTAGTTTTAGAATCAACAAAATAAGCAAATAGCTCCTACAGAAGCTAAGCAGGGCCAGGCCTAGGTAGTACTGGGCAGTGGCAAAATCTGTCGGAGAGGCCAATGGCGCAGATTGGCAGCTTCTCTTCCATCAGTCTGCCCCAGGGCAGCATGTGGCTAGTAGCTTACCATCACTGAGTGTGGAATGAATGAACAATGAACTGTAAAGTGCTTTGGGTATCTTGAAAGGCGCAATATAAATGCAATGATTAATTAATACTCTGAAACTGCGAAATATAGCACTTACAAAACCATAAAAGGTGATCTAAATATGTTATGTGTTAGCACTAAATACTCCAAAGAAGTATAATACCCCCTCTCAAATAACTGCTGTTTCTCTTGCCATGTCCAGTGTGGCCTGCACAATGCCTCAGATAGTGCACTGCGATTTGTTAAAGAAAACTTTCTGACCGATGAGAGTGTGCGCCCGGTGGACAAGAGGCTGACATTAGTGTCACAGCACAGCTACAGTCACATCAGTGTGAAGAGGGTGCAAGCAGCCAACGGAAGGCCATATACCACACTCTTTCTACTCACAGGTATGTGCCAGACCTAAACTCACAGTAACCCCCCAAAGGCACAGTAACAATAGGGAGGAGGAAGAGCATGTAGAGTGTGTAAAGGAACAGCCTGACTATAATCAGAATTTATTATCACTTATTGAAACTACTGTAAAGCACTTTTTTTAGAGCTTTAAATGGACTGGCCCCACAGTACATTTATTTTTCTTTCTTTTTTTCTTTTTGTGGAAAAGGGACAATACATTTCCAGCAGCAGAAATATCTATTAAATAGTGAGACAGATGTGCGTCCTTTTATGATGCGTGCTCCTCCATGAGTTTATGGATATAAAAAGAGAGCAGAGGAGTGAGGACAGCCAGAGACAAGAGGCAGCTAAACTTTTGTCTGTCACAGTCCTCACTGAAGGTAAATGTTTTGGAGTGGAGTTTATTTACTGTATTCCTCGTATGAGTAACATCAGCGCACGCACACACACGCACACACACGCACACAGGGATTGTATAGTAAAGTCGTGTGTCTGTGTGTACATGAGCAACTGTGCCGTGTTTTGACCCACTTCCTCCAAACAGGCCAAGGTCCCAACCATCCGTATTAGAGCCCGACCGATATGGATTTTGTTGTGGCCGATATGAAACTGATATAATGGGAGTTGACGCTGCTATATTTAGTGATGTAAAAATTCACTGTAAATCTTGAATTGTTTAAAAAACTTAGGTTTGGCTCTAGTGGATTCTAAATTGGGTTTATTTAGGCAACATTTATTGTTATTCTGACTCTTTACATCATATTTACATACAGTAAATTGGCCTAATGGCATTTTTGCATCACATTCTAGCTACTAGTGATGGGTATTCCAGTTTTTTTTTTGAGAACTGGCTCTTTTGGCTCGGCTCACTAAAGCAGCCGGCTTTTTCGGCTCCCAAGCGACTCGTTGAGATTGTTTTGTTGCAAGCAGGACTAAACTAAAACTGAACCAGGACTAAAACAGATTTAAACCATGTGTGAAACAGGACTAAACCAGAATTGAACCAGGACTGAGTGTCGGGACTCGGTCTCTATCTCTCTCTCAAGACCAAGATTAGTCCTGGTTTATTCATTTTATGCTGAACTGCAGCCAAATATACACTTTTTTTTTAAATCCTATGCACACGTATATTTCTGAAAGTTTCGTTTTCAGCCGCTGCTGCTGTCAAACTACGGGTCTACAAGCGACTTGAAGAGAAAAAGTGAGAAAAAGAGAAAACACGGCTCCCAATAAGAAACGTGCTCCTGTTGTTCGCTTCAAAGAGTCGGCTCTAAGAGCCGCTTCGATCGCGACCGACCCATAACTCCTAGCTAGTAAACTATCGCTATTAGCCTTTAGCCGTAAAAACGTGCGCACCGCGGTAATTAATTATATGCATAAATGTGGATCATTCACACGTCTATTCACAGCTCATTTACATATCAATGCTGGTCCAGTAGCAAATATACGGACAATACAGTCACTTTACAATAGGCCAATAGAAAACAGCCTGTTTATGTGCGGGAGCTACAGAAGCTAACAGCTAACTAGCTTCAAAGTTAACATATTTCCAACACTCACTGCTTACACAGGCTCCTCCTCACATCACAAATCTGCACTAATAAAAGTCCTTTTAATCCAGACTCAAGACGATTGTCCATAAAAAGAATATAATCTCAGTGTTGCGCACCGCTGCGGGTGTAAACAATAGCACGTGAGTGAAGTGACGTGACTCTGGGGGTGTGTTCAGGGACAGTACGGACACAGACAAATTACACCGCAAATAAATACTGATGCGGAGCCACATATTAGGACATTTATCTGTCTATAAATTGGATTATATGAACATAATGTAGAGAGTCTAATATTTATAACGAGGTATAACATGCCCACGTGAAATATCGGCCCATATCAGCAAGCATATCGGCCAATAGCCGATATGTCTCCAGGTGCCCATATTGGCCGATAATATCGGCCAGGCTCTAATCCGTATCTGGGCACAGTTCAGTTGCACTTACACTGGACAAATGTAGCGTGCTGTCGGGGCAATCCATGCGTGGGTTCTAAAATCCTAATGTGAGCACACCCTAAGTGTATGAGGGTACAAGCACACATTTATTGACATTTACTTGAGCCTTCTGTTTACATTATGAGCCTGTCTACTGTGGCTAAGCAGACTTGTGCCAAAAGGACAATAATTAATTTGTTTGGGTTTATCCACTTTAATGCACTTACGTTTTTTTGGAATTGTTGTTATGTTTGATGGCCTAGCCTAATGTGAATGAAAAACTTTCTGGTATACTTACTGGAAAGGCTACTGGAATATATAAAGAATATTAAATAAACATTTACTTTCTTTTAAAAATATGTATAAAAGTTTATTCTGGGCTATTTATGCAATATTAAAAAAAAAAAAAAAAATAGGGAAAAACTTAGTAACTGCATTTGATATTCATTTTTGGTTTCGGCCACAGATTTTAATTTCGGTGCATCCCTAGTTGTTACATTATATTTATAAATATTAAGAATATTTATAAAATGCCATAATGTTGACCTAAAAATAATATGATGTATTGCACCTATCCTAAAGTGCTGAATGCAGTTCTTATGAAATGTGCTCAGAAGTTTGAGCTGCTCAGACTTAATTCAAATGTACACACCACACACACGTTCTCTCCCCAGAGTATCTTGGCCCATTGGACAGATCAGCAAAGTTTTCCCAGGTCCTGATGGTGCTTGGCTGAGGTCAAGGTGAGAGACCGGACTTATGTGAGACCAGTGAGTCGCCTCATTTGACTCACTGCAGTTCTGGACCAAGATGGACAGTAATTTTGCATACTTCAAAATTGCTGGCATAAGTTTGGGGCAACTGTTATGAAGGCAGGGCTGTAATATACTAATATTTACCAAGTTTCAACTACCAAGTACCAAGCCTGCGTGGGGCACTGCCATTTTGTGAGCATATGCAAAGTTTACAGTGTTTTCATTATTAGTCTGTGCACTACCTCAGTGTTATCTTCTCTTAAACCTAGTGCTAAAAATCGAAAGATCAGTAAATCGTGATCTCTGCTTTGGTTGATAAGACTTGCACATTTTAATCAGCAGGTCTACAGCTAATCGTGTGTCAGTAAGAGCTCGTGGATTTACACTCTCTTTTTTAGAGAGCAGAGTGTGTTCTTTTATCTCCTAGTTTTGTCTCCTCTTCACAAGATTTGACTTAAATCTGCACAATTTGACTAAAAGTCCAGTTTTCCTCTCCCTCTGTCTCTGTGTGTGCATCTGCCTTTGTGTGTGTGGTGTCCTCCTTCCCTCGCTCTGATCCAGCTGCACACTCATTTAGTGCACTGACATTGCATGTGTTTCTATTGATAACGCTAGCACACATGTGTCTGCAACTAAAACAGTACCACTCTGTGATCACAACTCTACTGAACCGGACAGTAGTGATAAAACCTCCATAACAGGGTCATAACATAGTACTTATTGCCATTTTAATCCCTCCATAGTATATAGCTAGCTGCCATTTTCCAAATAAGAAGTGAGCATGGGGGTGCTTCTAGCTCCATTGACCTTGGGTCCGAGTAATATTCTATTGAAAAATCCAACTGTAAGGCTTGTCATTTTGATCTTTAAAATGTTCATATTACCACCACTGTTCAGATTACCTCTCTATATGATGCTGGTCCTATTTCACAATTTTTTTGCTAAATCAAGATATGAACATTAATAACAGACTAATCAGGCACCTTCTTTCCCCAAGGTCACATCTGCTAGCTTTGCTAATCACGTACCCCCTGCCAAACCAGCAGTGCAGGTGAGAAGGGACAGTACCTTCAAAAGCCTCACTCTGGATTGATTCTTTGGTTTTTACGATACTTACAGTTGATACTCATTGTCTCCTATATTTGCCCCTCTAACTGCCAGCCTCGATCAGCTGCATTTGACTGGAGCCGAACGCTATGGCTGACAACATACTCCCTTAGTCCACTTCTTTCTACAGTCTATGGTAAAGACTAATACAAACTGGTCACCCTCACCGTTGCTCTTCTGTCAGTGACAGGGCTCATCCACAAGGTGGTGCTGCTGCAGACTGGGCCTCACATCATTGAGGAGATTCAAGTGTTCAAGCAGCCGCAGACCATCACTAGCATGAAGCTCTCCAAGGTACTCACCTCCACCTGGTGTATCATCAGCAGTAAAGTCTACAAATACTACAAATACACCTGATGTTGCAGAGCTGAGTGTACACATTTCAAACTCAATTTTGATATTAAGGAATAGGCTTAATACTCAATACCAGAATGATAATAAAAACATTTAGACACTGGAATGTCATTTTCAACATAATTTTACAATGATCAACAATCAGTTGTTGTATTACCATGTTGCCTTATATCTGTGTAATCCCTCAGTCGCCATAGTGGGTTAAGGGCATATGCCAGGCTATGTAGTGTTACGCTGGTACAACCCGATATCATCAATATTTGCTCAAATTAATATCTAGATGATACTAGTTTTAATATCGATTAGTATCCTTTTGACAATCCTAGTGTGAAGTACGTGCTCTCCTGCAGGATGTCATATTTATTGGCATGTCGGGAGGGGTTCTGAGCCTCCCAATGGCCAACTGCTCCTTCTACCGGACCTGTGCCCAGTGTGTGCTGAGTCAGGACCCCTTCTGTGGCTGGGACAGTGGCAGGCGTGTCTGTGCGGAAGTGGGCCGTTCTGTGACCACTGTTCTGTAAGTATCACACACTAGAGTTTAGGGCTGTAATCGACTAAAGAAATTCTTGTTGAAAAAAATGCCCTGCTGATTGATCAGTTATGGTAATAGAGAATAATAATAATAATAATAAACATAAGGGAATGCATTAAAATAAGGTAAAAAGAGCATGTACATGTATACTGTGAAATGCAGTATGGCAGAACAACAGTCTACAACTATCAGTGCAAGTAGGTTCATTGGAGTTGTTTAAAGTGACAGTGACAGATGTTCTAAAGTAGCAGGTGTTATAGAGTGTTCATCCAACAATAGAGTTGAAGAAACCATTCTTGTGGTGTGAGGTTCTGTAGCCTCTTGCCCAAAGTCTTGGAGGCCCATAGGTCCTGGAGAGATAAGAGGCTGCCGCCCATCACCTTCTCAGCAGACCCACAATGCTTTGTTACAGTCTGTGTGTGTTCCTGTGGTACACAGGGGCCACAGGGGTGGTCCTGCACCATCATCTGGGCTGAAGCTTGGCTTTTCTCCACAGGAGGTCCATCCTCTGCTGGGCTTTTTTCTGGGCCCTTGAGCTCCAGGTTGCTACCATGGAAGCAGGTCACCAGCCGGTCATCTGCATCTGACGTGGCCCGATGAGAGTGGTCATACTACAAGGAGCACTGGTCACTGACAGACATTATCTCTTCTTATCTTCTCCTTCGTTCTACGTGGTTTGCTTTCCAGCCACAGACTTTCATTAATGTGCTCTCTCTCCTCATGTTCCATTTTTGACCTTATAGTTCATGTGGGAACTAGACTTCTGTCTTGAGACAAAGAGAGAACACACACTGAGCATGAGAGCAGTGCAGAGGACTTGTGCCTCTGTCGTCAGCCTCAGACTGATTTCCCTTTAGTTTATCTTTAGATGAGTTCTATTTTAGAGACTCACAATGCACTTGTCTATTTCCAAGGCCAATTGTAAAACTTTCCTCTGTGACAGTTCTCATATCTGAGTTTACATTGCATCTTTAATTTCCACGTGTTTTAGTTCAATACAAGAAATGGGTGTTTTCTATTGTTTCTTGCATAGGTCTTGTACTGTCATGGGAGTGTGCACCACTGTGCAGATACAAATGTTGCCTCACTAAAAGTTAAACTCTGTCTGCCACAACAGCATTGCAGCGTCCTTAAACACTACATTCTTTACAGACCTATAACCTACATGACCAATTACTGAAAGTGTGAGGTGACCAATTAGTAAAAGTGTGTTGCCAGATGAAGCCTTTGAGAGCCAGTGCTTTGTGTGCAGGGTCCAGGATGTGGAGCAGGGGCAGGTGGATGACGTGTGTGTGAGCTCCCTCACACATAGAACTCTGTTTGGATCACACATGCCCACAGGTAACAATTGTTCACTTAACATTTTATACCACCACAACCTACACATAATGGCTCCCAGGCTTGTTGTTATTGTAAATGGTATTTGGTATTTAAGGATGTGTTAAATTTGATTTTTCACCAGTAGATGGCAGATGTGACCACTCCTCTCATATGGTCTTTTTTCAGGCTCGCCTGTGAATACAAGAGGGGTGGGTCAGCCAGTCTAATTACAAATGGTAGATTTAAATGGTATTTCACTATAGAAAAGCAAAGTGTAAGAGTGTGTGGATGACATTATGAGGAGTCGAGAGCCAGACATGTAGAGACAAGGGGACACAGCTGGTAAAAGCTTAATGTGGGTACTACATTTGTGTTTTGTACAAAGCTAAGCAAATTTCCATCCTTAGTCCCATGCTGGGCCAAGGCCAGTCACATGACCCACCTTATTCATAAAACATGACAAAAGACACAATAACAGCTTCCACAGGTATCTCTCACTCATACACTTTAAATCACACACATCTCTCACTCGTACACTTTAAAACACACATATCTCTCACGCAAAATTTTTTAAACACACACATCTGTCACTCAAACATTTTAAAACACACACATCTGTCACTCAAACATTTTAAAACACACACATCTGTCACTCAAACATTTTAAAACACACACATCTCTCACTCAAACATTTTAAAACACAGGTATCTCTCACTTGGGGCCTCAGACCTGTAACTGTTGTGTCTGTGTGTTACAGCCCTTAGGACAGTGTTGGGGCCACAGAAATGTAACTGTTGTGTGTGTGTTGCAGCCCCGTGCCCTCCTGGTGTGCTCGTCACTGTCTCTCTGAATGAGGTGGTCCGGCTCCACTGCCCAGCCCCTTCCCTCTTGTCCCGGCAGCAGTGGGAGCGTCCCAACAGTCGCCTGTCAGAGGAGCTGTACCTGCAGCTGGAAGACGGCAGCCTTAGCTTTGTGGCCACCCCAGCCACACTGGGACACTACCTGTGTGTATCTGTTGAAAAAGGCTTCCAACAGACTATGGCCGTGTACCAGGTCCGACAGAACAGCATCCCCATCTCCTCCTCTAGCAATGCCCCCACCCAGCTCATCACAGAGCACCTGACCAAGCCCTTCACAGAGCACCGCACACACCCCCGCGGACCTCCGACAAGTACCTTCCCACTGCACACTGTCCGGTCTGTGCACAGAGACAGGGGCTTTGGGAAAGCTCCTGAGGGGCCATGTTATTTGAAGGAGCTCCTCATAGTAAGTGGGCTGCTGGTGCTGTGCTTCAGCCTGCTGCTCACACTGCTCATGTACACTGTGCGTATGCACTGCCACAACAGGACGGCCCCACAACCCCCTACTCCTCCCCGACCGCGAGGGGGTACCATAGAGCCACATCCCAAAGGCCAGCGCAGCAGCACCAGCTCCAATGGACACCTGCCCAATATCCCACTGTGACTCATGTGGACAAAAGAAAACACGTGGCCAGTGTCCCACTGTGACTTGTGGACCTGCTACTGTCCTGCTTTTTGAGGACATAAGAGGAGAGTCTGGAACCGGCCCACACAGTTGAGGGACAGAGGACTTGTGTCATGGTTGAGACTTGTGTTCAATATTTGTGCTTTTACAAAGATTATTTTAGACCAAACTTATGTTTTCTTGTGTATTTTCTACAAGAGAGTCAGTCTGCTCACTGTTTATAAGTCAGAGAAATAAAGAAAAGCTCTTATGGAATTGTTTCATTTAACTGACTAAAACCTTGACAGCAGACAGGGTCAAAGACAAGGCTAGTGAGAAGTGGAGTGTGAATGTATTGCCTTGTTTAAAGGTGTACTACGTATACTGCTCATCTCCATGGAAATGTTCATTCTTAGCCTGGAATGTCCTAGTTTGGCTCCATGGTTACAAGTGGAGAGGTGACCCTGCTCACATTAATAATGTATGTTTGTCATTTTGAGGATGCCATACCATGGAAGAATATGGGCAAAGCATTATCTCCATGGAGCTAATACAAAGCAGAAGAGTGTCTCCACTAGAAAAGCATTTAATTATGATTTGGATGACTGAGTAGATTTTTCTTTTATTCTATTCTACTTCACCATAATGAGAAAGGCCGTTTGAATAAGGCTTTAAGCAGGAGCTGCAAAAATCATGGTCACAAGCAAAAATGCAATTGCGAGGGGAAAATAGGCAAATTAGTAATAGTAGTCTTTTTAAATAATAATTTCAATGACATTATTTAGGACATTTAGGCCTGTTAGTTTATTTTAAGAGGACATTGTGCCTTCATAAACATTTATGTAGGGTAAATGTACAAGAATTGGCCTAAACTGCTGTTTTTCATCTGCTGTCGCTGAGGGTATGAAGACCTTGTCAAATGGGCTGTTTGTGTGTTTGAAGCACTCTTATCACAGCAGTAAGTACAGGTTGGATCTATTCGCTGCGCCCTTGTAGCTTTGGTGTCATAAATAAGCTACAGTTCTCTAAGTGAATTCATGTCGATGTGTGGACTCGCATGTCCGCAGTGAGCTGAGCACCGCCTCTCCGTAACTTTGGAGAAGTCCTGAGACAGCAGCCGCTGCAGCAGCGCCATGAGCGTGTGAACACACCCTGCCGCAGCATAACATCACCGGGATTTAGCTAAGGACATACGGCTGACCGCTGCTCGGTACAGGTAAGAGCACCCGCGGAACGCACGCAAAGCAAACTTCAAACCTCTCACCCGGCGTCACTGCATGCCAAGGCAAACTGCATATCGCGACGTGTCGCTCCCGTTCAGGTCGCACTGCAGCACACTGAAAAGATGGATGCTCGGATGCCGCACGGCAGTGATTCAGCACAACAGCCCGTGTGCACGGAACATATGCGGGCCGTTATTATGAGGACAGACCTGCGGGGATGTGTCATGTCCTCTGCGGCCGCACCACACTCACACACTGGGATGCATGGCGTTCAAGTGGGAAAGTTACAGCGGGATGGGCCGCTCTATGCAAAGTGAGTGAAGTAATTGCCCCATAGAATGCGCTAACAGCATAGAACCACCACCAACACTTGAACACACCACATTCATACTAGACAGGGTGAAGAACCTTGCCTAAGGGCACAATGACACTTTTAGCCCTGGCGCCTCAGCGGTTTCCCATCCAAGCAGACTACTAACCCGGCCTGGTTCTGCCTAGCCTCTGAGATCTAATGAGATGAAGCTTTTACAAGCCAGTATGGCCACAGACTAATATTACCTGTCTCCCCCTATCCCCTGCCACCTGTCTTTTCACCTGTTTCCTATCCTCTCATCTGTCACTATCTGTCCTCTCACCTGTCTCCCTCTGTCCTCTCATCTGTCCCTCTCTGTCCTCTCCCCTGTCCCCCTTTGTCCCCTCAACCGTCTCCTTCAGCTCAAGTGAAAGATGTCTCAGAATGATAAAGACACCGCTCCTGTCGCTCCTGTCTTGGGGTCTTTGTCGCCAGGACAGCTGCAGTCCCACCTTAAGATGGAGCCCAAGACTCTGGGGGTGAGCAGCAATGAACGCATATGTCCATAGTGTTTGCAACAGTCTGACCTCTGTTCTCTGCCCTACGTCCTTTGTCCCTTGTCCACTATCCACTCTCAGGCCATCCAGATTGTGATAGCAGCTCTGATCCTGTGCCTGAGTGTGTCTGTGCTGAATGTGCATGAAGTGCACTTCACCGGGGACATCGCACTCTTCCTCATCGTTGTGATACAGGTGTGTCCTCTGTCCTCTGTCTCATGTTCTCTGTCTATGTCTCTGTCTCTGTCATCTGTCTGATGTGATGGAGAAGAGTATGATGTTGATGAGTGTGACAGTAAGGAGTTTGGCGGCAATGAGCGTGACGGGATTAGTGTCACTGCAATGAGTGTTACGATTATGAATATGATGGCGAGGAGTATGACAGTGAGGAGTATGATGGTGATGAGTATGATGGTGATGAGTATGATGGTGATGAGTATGACGGCGATGAGTATGATGGTGATGAGTATGATGGTGATGAGTATGATGGTGATGAGTATGATGGCGATGAGTTTGACAGCGATGAGTATGATGACAATGAGTTTGATGGCGATGAGTATGATGACGATGAGTATGATGACGATGAGTATGATACAATGAGTTTGATGACGATGAGGATGATGACGACGATGAATATGACGGCGAGGAGTATGACAGCGATGAGTATGATGACGATGAGTATGACAGCGATGAATATGATGGCGATGAATATGATGGCGATGAGTATGACGGCGATGAGTATGACGCTGTTGAATATGACAGCGAGGAGTATGATGGCGATGAGTTTGATGGAGATGAGTATGACAGTGATGAGCATGACAGCGGTGAGTAGGACGGCGAGGAGTATGACGGTGATGAGTATGATGGCGAGTATGATGGCGATGAGTTTGATGGAGATGAGTATGACGGCGAGGAGTATGACGGTGATGAGTATGAGATGATGAATATGATGGTGATGAGTGTAACGGTGATCAGTATGGTGGCAATGAGTGTGACTGCAATGAGTGTGATAGAGAAGAGTATGACGGGAATGAGTGTGACTGCAAGTGATAATTCCTTGTACTGGTTTCAGGTCACTCTCTCAGGGTCCGTGCTTATCCACAGTGGGAGGAAGCCCACCTTGTTCTGGGTGAGTTTCAGCTAAAACAATTAGGCCAACACTATACCATGTTTTAATATTGTTCCCCCATCAAAAACATCCCTGAAGAGGTTTTAGATGTCATCCATGCATGAAACTTCAAATTCCAATAGACCGCTGAGTGATGCAGATCAGAATAGTAAGCGAAGCACTTGTCTTGTCTCTGTTGTCTGACTAGACAAGTCCATAGGCAATAGTCTTAATAAAATGTATTACTGTATTTTTCGGACTATAAATTGCACCAGACTGTAAGTCGCATTTTTTGGAGGAAATTTATTTTATAAAATCAGACCAAGAACCAACATTTCATGTTGAAAAGCAAGTTCTAGTAATAACAATAGAACAGAGAACAACAGACTGTTAACGTCACATATGAACAGTTCTTCAGATAACTATAGCATAAACAACAGAACAGAACAAGTTTACCAAACTCTCCATCTCACTCCAAATCACTAAATCCATTGAAACCAAATTGAAAGAAAAGAAGCTGGGTTTCTTGTGTCCTTTCTGAACTATGTTAAGTTGTTCCTTTGATCAGGAGCTTTGGAATTGCCCCCTTTATTCATAAATGTATTATTATTTTTATTTTTTTTTATTCACAATTGTGTTTTGATTTTTGCTATGTTTCAATGTGATCTTTGTGTGGTGCCTTTTTGTTTGTATCTGGGATTCTAAAGTATTAATTAAAAATATATATATATTTTTAAAAAAATGAAATCCATTGAATTCTTCATCCTCTATCACTTCTGAGCAACTCCGCGACCTCTGGAGGTAAACAAAGCACCGCTTCCTCTTCTGTGTAGCTGTCGTAAGACTCAGAATCAGTTCCAGTTAAAATTATTCTGGCCTTGCTGAATCCTGACAGGATGGTTTCGGTTGTCTTTATAAGTTTGTTTAAATGTTAGATTGTTCAGTGGTAATAGTGCGATCAACTGACATGATTCAGAAAGGACAGAGGCTCTTTGTGCAGGAGACATGCGCAGTAGAGCCAAGTGACAGTGGTACAGGAGTAACAGGAGCAGCAGATACTGACACACAAGCTGAGAGTGCCCTCTTGCATCTGTCAGTGTGAAAATTTCAATATACAGTATAAGTCGCTCACCAGACCATCCAATATATAAGTCGCCCAGTTGGACCACCCAAACCATGAAAAAAGTGCTTAACTTATTGTCCGAAAAATTTTACTTTATTAGTTGCAAAGTTAAAAGTCCAGGATCAGTATCAGTATCAGATTCAAATCATAGACATCAAGCATGGCAAGAAACTACATGCTTGCAAGACCTGAGGAGCAAATATTGCCAACCCCATGGCACCGACTGTTGGTGACTTACACACAAGGGGCATGGCTCTAACAATGCATGTTTGAGCATTTTAGAGATCTCTCTTGGGTCCTATTTGAACCAGTCATACAGTTAGCTGTAAGATTCTGGCCAATGCGCTGCCTACAAACCTATGTCACCCAAGCTGCCGCATGACAATTCTCCATAAATATACAAAATCATGATGCAAAAGTGTGCACAATAAGGATCTAAAAATAACTAAAATATCATGAAATCGCATCATCAAACGTCTCACAATTATATCAGATGCCATTACAATATATTGAATTAAGTCTCTTTACTTAAATTAATAGTTATGGTGATTTTAATGTCCTTCTTTGTGATTTTAATATCTTTCTCATTCTGCAAAGCACTTTGAATTACTTTGTGTGAAATAAACTTGCCTTGCCTTGGCAAGGTGCAGCAATAGCATGGTGCAAAAACAGGATCAGATCATGATCCTTTGGTGTTGTCAGACTGCATGTTATTAAGCACTTTTACATTTCAATTTTTCATATTATAACAGTACCAAAGGCTTTTCAAGGCTTTTCCAAGGCTTTTAAAAGGAAAAAGTAACATATACACAATTTTGTAAGCCTCCACAAAATATTGCAATAAATATCGAAAATAAATATTGTGAGATACAAATCATGAAAATATCGTATAAAGAGATTTTGATATCATTACATCCTTACCGCATAACAACTTGATATCCTGATGTGTATTTTCATTATTCGGATGCACGCTGATTGTGTAGGGATAGCACTCTGAAGGGGGAGTGACGTAGCCCGAGGAGCATAGGGAGGGGAGACTTGGAGTGTCAAAAACAGGACTGAAATATATTAAAAATTTTTTTGGCAAATATAGCATTTTCAAAACAACAAAAGGTTACATGGTGATTTAATTATGTTATGCGGTAACAATACCCCTCAGAAGCAAAATTCCTCCTCCTTAAAAATGTTCTACCTGATTTTGTCTTAAAAATATGAAAAACAGAAATAGCTAATTTTAAAAGGTTTGTAGTGTAGTCACTTTCCTAACACATTTCTGTTGAGGTTCAGACATGTTATGGTATGATGATAAGTTTATTCAGATGTTTCCATAAATAATGAATTGCATTATTATGCATTAATCAACAGATACATAAAGGCAATTATTTTACATTGCTCATCACAACTATAATCTCCAAAAATAAACATTTTAAGAAAAAAAATCAATTATTCCGAAAAAGGAGTGGGGAGAAGCAATATATACCCCCACCCCCTTTTACAATCCCACTAAAGCAATAATGTGCTTCTGTCAGACTCTTATAGTACGTTATTACTCCAGATACAAAAATAAATATAGCGTAGTTTACATTCAGAGAAGAAATAAACTTAAATTCCTTCTAGTGCATACATACATACATAGCTATAATTATTTCTTTATATTTATGTTTATTTTCATATTTGGACATTTTTTGAGCTCACCACTCAGGTCCAGATTTTGACCCCACAAACTGAAATACAAAAACTTTTTCTTGTTGTGCAGAATCTGGCCATTTTAAAGAGGTGACTTCTCCTTAAATTATAAGAACTTTCTCTTTCCCTAAAAAGTTTCTGAATATTTTTTCTTTCCTTTCTGCCTTGTACATTATTTTTGCTGTCTGGAAGCTTATCACATCCTTAAGTTTTAAAATTTTTGAAGTGATTAATAGTTGGTTGGTGTGGTCATAATAGACTGAGAATAGTTCTGAGAAATATGTTCAGAAAAAGTTCTAATGGCAAATTTGAGGAAAAGTCAGTAAACATGCTATTTCCCATGATTTGAGGGTGCTGACTCTCCACCCACCCGGAGAGGGCAAGCCACCTTTTTCCGGTCGAGAACCATGGCCTCAGACTTGGAAGAGCTGATCTTCATCCCAGCCGCTTCACACTCGGCTGCAAACCGCCCCAGTGCACACTGCAGGTCCTGGCTCGATGAAGCCAACAGAACAACATCGTCCGCAAACAGCAGAGATGAAATCCTGTGGTCCCCAAACCGGACCCCCTCCGGCCCCTGACTGCGCCTAGAAATTCTGTCCATAAACACAATGAACAGAACCGGTGACAAAGGGCAGCCCTGGCGGAGTCCAACATGCACCGGGAACAGGTCTGACTTACTGCCGGCAATGCGAACACAGCTCCTGCTCCGGTCATACAGGGACTGGACAGCCCTTAGCAAAGGGCCCCGGACCCCATACTCCCAGAGCACCCCCCACAGGACACCACGAGGGACACGGTCGAATGCCTTCTCCAGATCCACAAAACACATGTGGACTGGTTGGGCAAACTCCCATGAACCCTCGAGCACCCTATGGAGAGTGTAGAGCTGGTCCAGTGTTCCACGGCCAGGACGAAAACCTCCTGAATCCGAGGTTCGACTATCGGCCGAATTCTCCTCTCCAGTACCCTGGCATAGACCTTACCGGGAAGGCTGAGGAGTGTGATCCCCCTATAGTTGGAACACACCCTCCGGTCCCCCTTCTTATACAGAGGGACCACCACCCCGGTTTGCCAGTCCAGAGGTACTGTCCCCGACCGCCACGCGATGTTGAAGAGGCGTGTCAGCCAAGACAGCCCCACAATATCCAGAGACTTCAGGTACTCAGGGCGGATCTCATCCAACCCCGGAGCCTTGCCACCAAGGAGCTTGCCAACCACCTCAGTGACTTCGGCCAGGGTGATGGATGAGTCCGCCTCCGAGTCCCCAGCCTCAGCCTCCTCCTCGGAGGACGTGACGGTGGGATTGAGGAGATCCTCAAAGTTTTCCTTCCACCGCCGGACAACGTCCCCAGTCGAGGTCAGCAGCTCTCCCCCCGCACTGTAAACAGTGTTGGTGAAGAACTGCTTTCCCCTCCTGAGGCGCCGGACGGTTTGCCAGAATCTCTTTGAGGCCGTCCGATAGTCCTTCTCCATGGCCTCCCTGAACTCCTCCCAGCTCAGAGTTTTTGCCTCCGCGACCACACGGGCTGCAGCACGCTTGGCCCGCCGGTACCCGTCAGCTGCTTCAGGAGTCCCCCGAGCCAGCAAGGCCCGATAGGACTCCTTTTTCAGCTTGACAGCATCCCTTACTTCCGGTGTCCACCACCGGGTTCGGGGATTGCCGCCGCGACAGGCACCACAGACCTTACGCCCACAGCTCCGAGCAGCTGCATTGACAATAGAGGCCGAGAATGAAGCCCACTCGGACTCCATATCTCCAGCCTCCCCCGGAATCCGGGAGAAGTCCTCCCGGAGGTGCGAGTTGAAGGTCCCTCTGACAGAGGGCTCCGCCAGACGTTCCCAACAGACCCTCACTACACGCTTGGGCCTGCCAGGTCTTTCCGGCTTCCTCCTCCGCCAGCGAACCCAACTCACAACCAGGTGGTGATCAGTTGACAGCTCAGCCCCTCTCTTCACCCGAGTGTCCAAGACACGTGGCCGGAGATCAGATGACACGACTACAAAGCGGGTGGGTGGAGAGTCTTTGCCTCAAGTGGAGGAGTTCAAGTATCTCGGGGTCTTGTTCACGAGTGAGGGAAGGACGGAACGTGAGATTGACAGGCAGTGGCAGCTTCGGCAGTGATGCGGTCGCTGTATCGGACCGTTGTGGTGAAGAGGGAGCTGAGTCGAAAGGCGAAGCTCTTGATTTACCGGTCAGTCTTCGTTCCTACTCTCACCTATGGTCATGAGCTCTGGGTAGTGACCGAAAGGACGAGATCGCGGATACAAGCGCTCGAAATGAGTTCCCTCCGCAGGGTGGCTGGGCGCTCCCTTAGAGATAGGGTGAGGAGCTCAGTCACACGGGAGGAGCTCGGAGTAGAGCCGCTGCTCCTCCACGTCGAGAGGAGCCAGTTGAGGTGGCTCGGGCATCTGTTCCGGATGCCTCCTGGGCGCCTCCCTCGGGAGGTGTTCCGGGCATGTCCCACCGGGAGGAGGCCACGGGGAAGACCCAGGACACGCTGGAGGGACTATGTCTCTCGGCTGGCCTGGGAACACCTCGGAGTCCCCCCGGAGGAGCTGGAGGACATGTCTGGGGTGAAGGAAGTCTGGGAGTCCCTGCTTAGGCTGCTGCCCCCGCGACCCGGCCCCGGATAAGTGGACGAAAATGGATGGATGGATGGATGAGGGTGCTGATTCCAAATATTTTGTTTACCAAGCTGAATTTACAGTTTTGATAATGCTAATTAGCACAATAGCATTGATGCCAGGCTAATCAAATTAAAGTTCTCTTTAACTGAATGGATTTCATAAAAAGTCCAGAAAACAAATACCAGTATACTGTAAATATATATCAGACAAATATTATAACCCCTAATTAGCATACTGAAATAAAAACAAGGCTATACTTCAGCTTTTTAAAGCTAGCGTCCTTCATTTCCTTCATTTGATGAGCAGAAATGAAACAAATTTCTAATTCAGATTTTTAATAGGTTTGGATTCTAGGTGATTGCTCATTTTTAATTCTGGAAGTCATTTATCTCTTGTTTGCTATCGACAGCTTTCATTCTTTATTGAGAATATAGCGACTGTTATGTTTTATATCATAACATTTCAGTAAATGTTACTGAGGGGGTGAGGCAGGCAAGTGTCTTGCTCAAGGACACGACATCATTCACCTGTGGGAGGTGGAATGGCACCACCAACCTGTGGGTCAGTGGATCTGACTCAACCAATGATGTTTATGTCAAGAGCGGGACCGCGTGGCGGTCAGGGACAGAGCTACATGTGTCTGATGTTGTCCTGATGGCTTCATCAGACCAGGACCTGCAGCACTGGGGGGGTTTGCAGCTGAGGTCTTGTTCTCGAGTGAGGGGAGGATGGAGTGTGAGATTGACAGGTGGATCGGTGCAGCGTCAGCAGTGATGCAGTCGCTGTATCGGACCGTTGTGGTGAAGAGGGAGCTGAGCCGAAAGGCAAAGCTCTCGATTTACTGTCAGACTACGTTCCTCCCCTGACCTCTGGTCATGAGCTTTGGGTAATGACTGAAAGGACGAGATCCCGGATACAAGTGGTTGAAATGAGTTTCCTCCACAGGGTGGCTGAGCGCTTCCTTAGAGATAGGGTGAGAAGCTCAGCTACACGTGAGGAGCTCTGAGTAGAGCCGCTGCTCCACCACGTGGAGAAGAGCAGCTGAGGGGACAGCATCTATTCCGGATGCCTCCTAGACGCCTCCCTTGGGAGGTGTTCAGGTGTTATAATTAACATCAGACATGAACTCTGAAGCCAGGCTGCCACCTTTCTCATTTCAGTCTCTTCACTACCTCATTTGCATTTTTTCTATGGGTGAACACAATAGTGTCATCAACATACATAATTATCTTGACATACTGAGGGGAGGCCATTTATATATAGACTAAAAAGCAGAGGCCCGGGAATCAAGCTCTGTGGCACCGCCATTGTGCAGCTTTGGAGAGAGGATAAGGTGTGGTTTGCTCTCACACGTTGCTGTCTCCTCCTCAAGTATGATACAAACCAGTCTAATGTAGATATTTTATTGAGAAGAATACTGGCTTACACTGTCAAGCACATTGCACAACTCAAGGAAGACAGCTCCAACTACTCCACCCAGGTCTAAACTTGATCTAATTTTTTAATGGAATTAGCAGCAGGCTGTTTCAGTGGAATAATTCCTCGTGAAACCAAATTGCAACAGATTTAATAAATCATTTGCATCAAAGTGTTGGGTGAGCTGCTCGGCTACAACCTTTTCATAGACCTTAGAGATGGCAGGGAGTATACTTGTAGTTACTGACCTCTACCTTAACTAGCTTAGACTTGCGCATGGGCATGACAACGACAGTTTGCAATGTTATTGGAAAAATGCCTTCATTGATAGACTAACTTATAGTTATCGTGAAAACTGGAGTTAACATTTTTTATGCTATTTTAGATAGATCCTGTCGGCTGTGAAGATTGCTTCCACTTTTGCATCATTGACTGGTGCCAATCAGAAAGTAGGGCCAGTTTGCAGATTGATTTAATAAAATAGTAATTAAATAGTGTTGCAGTGACATTTTGGACAACATCTGAAGATTGCAGGTGCTTTTTTCATTCCCATTCTCTTGCAAAATATTTTACTATTTTCTTTTGTCTCTTTTAATAAGTTAATTTTAAAAATGGCTGTTGATTTCCTTAGCTGAGAGGTGCCTTTGTTTCTAAGATTTTTGTATATCTGATTATGTACTGTCAATCTAGATTGAATCGATTTTTTTTCAGTGCAGCGTCTCTTTTCTTCACCAAATCCCACAGTTAATTGTTAAACCAGGTCAAAGATTGCCTATTTGCTTGCTTCTTCTTTTTTGCTTTTATATATTTTGATAAAACAATTTTTAGAGTAGAAATGGCATCACTACACATTTATTCACATGATTTGTGCTCAAAAATGTCTTTCTATTTTATTGTTTTTTGTCATTTCCCAAAACAGATAGACATAACTTTGAAATAAAAGTTACACTATTTTTTGTGGATTGATTTTTATCTCTAAAACGTGATTTATTAAGCTGTCTTGAAACTAAAGTAAAATTGTGATCTGATAGTCTGGTTATTATCTGTTGATTTTTATTTTTTTTTATTTATTCTTGTAGGCCTGTTCACAATGTGGGTCAGTTGGAATGAATTTGTAATGTCCTTAAATTTTTTTCCTGCGCACCTTATCAAGCCAAATTAAATAAAATCACCCATTAGTATCATTAGTATTTTAAGCACTTTAACTAGCTCTGTGTAAAATTTGTTTGTGGCACTTGGAGGTCTGTAGATGGCGAGAACAATAAATCAGGGCAAACTTGTACATTGCCACATTTAATGCATGTAGAACATCCTGGGTTTTTATATAATATATAATATCCGAATTTAACTAAATCACCTGCCAAGCCACCACACCCTGCCGCCACCATCATTTACAGGCACTTACAATACTGCTCAAGGTTGGTTTGTTGAGATAACATTCCAGCATGTTAATAACTCCAGTAGAACATGTGTAAGACTTCTATAGATGCTTGTTAAACAGTTCATGATGCTGCTGGGTTGGCTTCTCATGTCTGCAGGTGAAATGTGTACTGGTGCTGCATCTGGTCAGTGCTGCCTTTGCCACAGCGGCCCTGGGGCTTATGTCCAAGCACCTACCCTACCGCCAGGACTCGTACCACTGTGAGCACTGCCGCCGCCTGGAGCTACATGCTGTGGTACTCCCACATACCCACATCTCACCAGTATCCAGAACACTCGGACAGCATTTAGCAATATGTTAAACTCCTCTCTGCAACTGTACAAGAGCCAATCAAAGCTCCTTACCTTTCTTTAAATGACATTCGAAATGCGTCATGTTGTAAGATAATGTCTTGCCTGGTGCAAGACTGAAACAATGTTGATAGGACAAAGCAGGCGCTCCTAAAGTGACAATATCTATTCTGGGGCAAGGACATTATACAGCCGTCATCAAAGGCATCTGTAAAAATCATCAGGGACTATCTCTTCATATGACTTCCTATGAAAGTGCAGTGACTCTGGAATACACCTGAAGAACTGAGTCTCCCCACTCTGCAGTGCATGGAGACGCATGCTGCTCATGAGCATACACTGAAAAAACTAACTTGTAAGATTTACTAGAAAATGTGGCCATACCAGCTTGTCAAAGCCTGATCTCATCAGATCTCAGAAGCTAAGCAAGGCCGGGCCTGGTTTGTACTTGGATGGGACACGACTGGGAAAATCAGGTGCCACATGGGGGAACCACATGCAAAAACTGTTGTGTTCTTAGGCAAGGCACTTCACCCACATTGCCATTATTATTATTATTATTATTATTATTACTATTATTGTTATTAGGCCCGAGCGCCAGAAGCTGGCAAAGGGCCTATTAGTATCGCAAAGCAATGCTCCAAGTGGCCGGAAAGTGAAATTGCACGATGTGACTTGCCCGTAGTGACCAGGGACCCTCGCCATGACGTAGCAATGCGCCTGAGTTTTCCGAAAATGTATAGTTTGTCAGGCAAAAAAAAGCAGAACATTGTTCTCGTATTAGAATATTAATCTTTCTTTCTTTCTTCTTTCTTATTATTAGGCCCGAGCCCCGACAGGGCGTAGGGCCTATTGCTTTCGCTACGGGGAGCGAATGGGGAGCAACAAGCGCATGGGCGAATACGAGAGGATGACATGCAGCCTCATACTCTGTCTTCCCCGGCACGAACAGCAGTATCCCAGTAACCCACGCCCAAGGCCTGAGCCATATTTATCACTGCTAAATGAATGGAAGTCAATGGGAGGTCATGGGCGACCCCGACGAGATGGTGAATGACGAGTGCGTCAGGGCCCGTCACTCACCAATGACCCCACGGTGACGTGGGGAAGGTCGAGAGCTTTCAAAAAACTTATAATATGCTGTTCCAATATTTTCAGATATATTGTTTTTGCTCAATTATAATTTTTTTTAAGCCCGAGCACCAGAGGCTGGCGAAGGGCCTAGTATCGCAAAGTGATAGGAGTTAGACTTGTGGTTGGGATTTACGGTTATTAGGGTTAGTGTGGGGCACAGCCTTTGCAGGGCACGGCCTTTGCAGGGCACGGCCTTTGCAGGGCACGGCGTTTACAGGGCGCAGCGCGTGTGACGGGCGAGGGCTGTTCGACGCCGTTTGCGGCTTTAATTTTTTATTTTTTTTCCTAACCAACTCACCCATTTTTCACCCACTAAACAATGATGAAAAGTCCTGGAAATTTTGCCATTTGGTAAAACTCGCGCTTCTCTAACTTTTGGCTATTTCCATTTTCCAAACATAAATAAAATAGCTCGTCAGCGTCCCCAAACGACTCAAAACTGCATTAGGGAATACGAATGAGGGCAAAAAAACTCGCCTACAGGAAGTAACAACAGCTGATATACGACACGTCACCACCAACACCGGTGACAGTTCTGAAGATAGCTTGCAGCTCGCAGCCGAAATATGTCAACAAGGTTAACACACTTTACTGCATTGTCTTTAAAAAGAACCCAAGAAGTTAAAGTGTATAAAAAGACAAAATGAACATCTTTTGCTTAGTATTAAGTAAAATGCACTCACCACGATAAACAGTCATGAATTTACTAATTGTCAATTTTTTTTTTTTTTAAGTTAGAAGTTATATTCATGTAAATAAATTAAGTAAAATATATTAAATATTGTCATAATTAATTGCATTGCTGTGTTGAAGTAATTCAGTACATATTATATGTTTAATATTTACTGATGTATAATAAATTGTCAGTTTTTCCACCTTCAAGGTAGGCAAAGCGCTTTACAACAAGGAACCACTCATCCACTTACACAGACACTGGAGGCAAGGTGGGTTAAGTGTCTTACCCAAGGACACAATGACAGCATTCATCTGTGGGAGCTGGAATCACACTGGCAACCTGTGGGTCAGTGGATCTGACTGCTCTCCCAATGATGTTTGGGTTTTTTATGTCGAGATCACCAACCTTAGGATCAGTGGACAAATGCTCTGCCAACTGAGTTACTGCTGGCCCAGCCCAAATACGCAGCCAGCAAGTGAAGGGACTTACCTAGAAGGACTTTGGCAACTGTAAAACCTTTAAAACGTATTAGTAATTATATAGTAGAACTTACTCATTACTCAATTTACTCATCGGCACTCACATTTTGTCCATTGCTATTAAATAAGTTTTAGTTCTCACAGAATTATGTGATTTCAGTGTAAAAATTACCCCAGTTGATTTTATATATATTTTACTACTCCCAGAATTTTTTTTTTCAGTGTACAGTAGGTGCAAGGGCAGGGCTGAAGACTTATGGCACATTTACACTCAATGCGTTGCGGGTTTGGCATGTATTTTCAGCAGGTCACTTGCAGACTGCCTGCAACACCAACTACTGCAGCTACTACTAATAACTACTTGTTCATAAGAATTATAAGTACATAAGTACTGTTAACTATTACTGATCTATGGTGCAGTGTGGTGTGTATGCAGCACAGGTTCAACAACACTCATCTGATTACCATATTTTTCAGACTATAAGTCGCTCCGGAGTATAAGTCGCACAAGCCAAAAACTCTGTAATGAAGAAGAAAAAAACATATAAGTCACATCGGACTATAAGTTGCACTTTTTGGGGGAAATGTATTTTATGAAATCAGAGACCAGGACCTGACATTTCATTTTGAAAGGCAGTAACAATAGAATAGAGAACAGGCTGTTAATGTAACATAAAACCAGTTCTTCAGGTAACTATAGCATAAACAGAACAGAACAAGTTTACCAAACTCTCCATCTCACTACAAAACACTAAATCCATTGAATTCTTCATCCTCAGTGTCCCTTCTGAGCAACTCCATGACCTCCGAAGATAAACAGAGCGTCGCTTCCTCTTTTGCGTAGCTGTTATCAGACTCAGCATCATTTCCAGTTAGAATTATTCCGGCCTTTCTGAACCCCAACAGGTTGGTTTTGGTTGTCACTGAAGTCACTTAAATTTGAAATTTTCAATTGTACAAAAGTAATGGTCAGGACCACCCAAACCATGAAACATGTGTGACTTATAGTCCGAAAAATATGGTACCTTTAAAAATCAACTCCTTGTGGAGTCTTCTCGCAGACCCACACCTCTCCTGGACATGTCGCCCAGTGCTCCCAGGTCAGTGTCACAGCATGCACTGATTTCACCCACGCTTGTCCCGAACTGCACACAACCTGCATTTAATATAAACCCAGCGTCATATGGCCCATCACTCCAGGTCGCAAACATAATTTCTTGGGATTTTTTCCCACCAAACATTTTCAGTATGGATACAGATAGATTTTGTGCTCGACATCTCGCTAACAGTAGCCCATGATAGCAGATTGAGCTATCCTGATTGAGCAGGATAAATTTAGCTTGTGTAGCTAACGTGACCCTTGTGTTGTGTGCTACACCCTGACGCATATTCCGTGTGTCTCTTTTTACTGTCCACCACAGCAACATTGTTTCAGGAAATGCACCGGGCTGATCGAGCAAAAATGTAAAGTAAGTGCCCCCTCCATGCTTCCTGCTTTGGTAGGCTCAGTGTTTGGACATGTCCTCACAGGGGTACATGCTGGCCCAGCTCACACCTCTTTTCTTGGCTTCTTTTGCAGTTGCTCATTGATGGGATCCTGGGCACCTTGGTGATCTTCCTGGTCTTGGAGCTCCTCATCTGCATCACAGTCATGCTCTTTGGGCTGAGCGTGTTAGCTGCTGGGGGGCGCCAGGTCTTGTCCTCCCTTTCCTCATTTGAATGAAAAGAATATTCATGTTTTCTGTTGAGCATTTTTATTTTTATAAACAAACTCACTGTAGGATGGAGTTAAATAGGTTGCATTCACTGCTTGGATAGACACAGATAGTAGCTGCAAATAATGCATAATTATTTAATTGGTTAAAGTGCATATGGTAGAGTTGCGCGGATGGGCTACTTTTTCATCCGCAACCGCATCGCAAAACTCATCATCTGCCCGCTATCCATTTGCAACCACAGTTTTTGACCAGTTTTCAAAACTGCACCCGCCCGCCATCCGCTTGGTCTCCTCCCAGTTGCTCCGAGTTCAGAGTTTTTTATTTGAGTAGTGAAACTACCACCCGCCCGAATTTAATTAAAATATTATTTTTCATCTGGTTAGACTACTAATTTCTCTAAAACATAATTAACACTATATTTAGGGTTATACAAATTTGCATGTTTTTTTTGTTTCTTTTGTAATTTTGGTTAAGTTTGTAATGTTACTTGCTGGTTGGATTGTCTCTGCATTTTGGAATTGATGAGTTGATGACATAGATAGAGGGATTATCTTTTAGAACTCACTGCTACTTTCTGTTTTTTCCAACTTTTAAGTTTTCAGCTTTTTTGTTTTTAACAATTTGCCACTTAACTGATGTAAAACTATGATAGATATTAACCTCAGGTACTATCCCACCAAACCATGTCAAGACATAATGCAGTGTATGTCTGGCCCACAGGCTGGCTCCCAACGCCCAGAATACCCCCAGACACGCCCCCCTCCTGCCCCCGCTGTACCCATTGCCCAGGCCACGCCCCCACTGTGCAGCCCATCACAGGTAAGTGAGGGCACAAAACTCACAACCCAAGTACAGCACATGGCATAATCTTATGTCCCATTTCATATCTGCATCCAGTCAGATGTCATGTTAACAGTTTCCTGAAGATTTCCATGCTGCTCGCGCTCAGTTTGGTATCTCACCATGTTTATAAATGTTTATAAGATTAGTAGGCTGTTTATTTATTTTTTATTAATTTATTATTATTTCGGCTACAGTAAATTTTCTGTCTTGAAGTAGTGCTCTGCCTGACACTGTGCAGAGTTCGTTTAGATTACTTTTAGTGGGAATAACAAGGTCTCATTTTATAATGAGATTAAATGTCCGGGGGGCTGAGGGATTGGCTGTATTCTTGTTATTCTGTATTATGCCGGGGCTATGTACTGAGGAAAAATACAGACAATAGTTCATAGCTTGAATCTATGAATTGCTAGTGATCACCAGATAAAGTCAAACATTTGGTCTTGTGTGTGTTTATGTGTGTACATGCGCATGTATGTGCACGTGTGCACGTGTGTTTATGTATGTGTGTGTGCATATGTGCAGGTGGCAGTGGTGGTGACTGAAGCAGACTCGGAGCAGGTGGAGGATCTGTCCACTCCTCCCACTGAGCCTCAGGTAGAGCCTATCGATGTCATTACTCCTGAGCCCTGAGCAGCATCTGCCTCAACACCTGTGTAACACACACAGTGTCACACATACAACATTCTCACAAACACAGTGTTACACATACAACATTCTCACAAACAGTGTTACACATACAACATTCTCACAAACACAGTGTTACACATACAACATTCTCACAACACAGTGTTACACATACAACATTCTCACAAACACAGTGTTACACATACAACATTCTCACAAACACAGTGTTACACATACAACAGTCTCACAAACACAGTGTTACACATACAACATTCTCACAAACACAGTGTTACATACAGTGTTACACATACAACATTCTCACAAGCACAGTGTTACACATACAACAGACATGACCTTTGTCCACAATGTTCACATGTCCTCTGTCCACACTGGTTACATGATCGCTGTCAACATTGGTCACATATCCTCTGTCCACATGATTCTGTCCATACTGGTCACATGACCTCTGCTAACACTGGCCATGTCCACATGACCTCTGCTGCAGCTGTAAATATGCATCTTTTAAAAATTATTTGACTGTATCTTAATATTCCTGTATGTCTGACACTATAGAGACTGTATCTGAAATGTAGCAAATGTAGTTATGGAGGGTATGACCTCTGTTTCTATAGGCTGTGGTTGCTCAAGGATTATCTCTGTTTGACCACATAATGAACTGTAAATATATGAGGAAACTGTATATGTGGCCGGCAGCACTAATAAAAAGGAACGTGTTTAAACTCTACATTGTATTTTCTTGTTAAAAGCTTTGATGTATAGACCATCTACATGTGAGAGATATTGTGTAGGTCCTTTATGACCATGTGAATATGCAGGGCACCAGAGTTATAGAGTTCAGCAGAAATATTAAAGAAAGACTTACTTTTCTCTGTAGAGTTCAAGGTTCAATGACCAGAACCAGAATTCAGAAAACTCTGATATAAGTATTAGGTTTAACACCTAAACATTGCAAAAATAAGAAGAAAGACAAGAGATTAGAATTGTTTTCTCATGAGGAGGGCGGACAGAGAATGCACTCACCGTTACCATCTCCACCCGCTCTGATGCACTCAGAGGCGTCTCCTCTTTTATTGTCTTAAGAGGGTCCCTAGTTACAATGGGTGTCTCTGCTCTCAGGGAGGGGGTGAAAACAGCAGAAACACCAGACATACAAATATGTGTTATCAACAGCAGGTGCATATGTTTCGTTCAGCTCTCAGACACAGCTTTCTCAGTGCAGCCTTGAGAGTGTCTGCTCCCATGCTCCAAGAGCCGAATCGCCTCGTTGCTCACACGTGAGGGGAGGGTTATTGCATACAGTTTCCAAGGACAAAAGATTATTCAAATTCACAAAGAACGGTACATAGCAAATATAGCAAATATGGGATAATATATACAATTATTCTAACAATAAGATAAAGGAATTATAAATTAAATTAAAACTGCAAGCAGTGATAAAGGGCCAATTGCAAATGCAGAGGGGCCTCCAGTCTCTCCAGTCTCTTTCTCTAAAACCTTCAAATCAGGCAAGAAATCTAGGGGTAATAACAGACTCAGATTTGAACTTTAACAGCCACATCAAATCAATAACATCTGCGGCCTTTTACCATCTAAAAACATAGCAAAAATCAAAGGTTTACTGTCTAAAGCAGACTTGGAGAGACTTATCCATGCGTTTGTCTCCAGTACGTTAGACTACTGTAATGGTCTGCTCACTGGCCTCTCCAAAGGAGCTGTGAGACGCTGCAGTACATCCAGAACTCTGCAGCTCGGGTCCTTACTCGAACTAGGAAGTACGAGCACATACGTTCTGTGCTCAGGTCTCTGCACTGGCTTCCTGTGGCTCAGAGACTTTAAAGCAGCTCTGCTTGTACAAGTCTCTCCATGGCCGAGCACCAAAGTACATCTCCGACATGTTAGTGCCATATGAACCATCTCACACTCTGAGGAGCTCAGGGACTGGCCTCCTGCTGGTGCCCAGAGTCAGGACTAAACAAGGGGAGTCAGAGTTTCAGTTTCATGCAGCTAAAACCTAGAACAGTTTGAACATGTGAGACAGACTCTTCTTTGACGCTGTTTAAATCCAGGTTCAAAACAGTTCTGTTTTACTGTGCATATGACTGAAAGGTTTTCATTCCACACTCTTCTCTCTAATTTATGTCTCTCTTTTTTTATTTTAATCTTTATGATTATTTATGTTTTGATTTGCTTTTATTAGGATTTTAATGTATTTCTTATTCTGTAAATCACTGAATTACTTTGTGTACTAATTTTGCTATACAAATAAACTTGCCTTGCCTTGCCTATCCCAGAGGGTTACACATTGATTTGACATAAGAATAGAAAGTGGCTGTTTCTACCCCATTTTACAGAACATCGAGAGAGAACTTTTTTTTTTTTGAAATACTAAGTGCCTAAAAATGTAAAACTTAGCCTAGCCCCACTCTGAGTCCAAACTAGCTCCGCTTTAGCAAACCTTGCTCTGATTGGTCAAAATGTGCCACGCTGTGCATGCTATAGATGTCACATGGGTGGGATGTACTAGCCTTTATTGAGACAGTAATGAGGAAGATCTTTTTTTTTTTTTTTTTTTTTACACAACCAAATAAAATAAATCACAACATAAAATGCAAGGAAGAATGATACTTTTACTTTAAAGATATTTCCTGTAGATATTGTATGTTTTAAAAGCTTTTTAAAATTTTTAATCTGTTTTATTGTCTAGAAATGTTGTATTTCTTTATTATAGTGGTGACCATTTGGTTTATTTTGAGTCCATTTGGTTTTAATATCTGGCCAGCGTGTTGAAGAAGAACAGGACATCACTTTCCTGGAGGCTGATCACATGTCTGGTTTTGGTCTGGATGAGCTGCTGTGGGTCCAAATGTTTCTCCTGTATGTAGAATGGTAGAAGAGGGGAGTGATTGTTTAAATTTTGCTTTGACAGAAGTGACAGTTGTAATAATTATCTAATTTGAATCTTTAGGCTGGGTAAATATGGAGAATTTTGCTGCAATCAATCTCCCCATGCAGTGAGCTCTAATATAGCTGTTTTCAGGCCGGCTCCAGTTCCAGTAGGAACTAAAGTGCTCACCGCATTCATACCATTTACATGAACCTATAATGCGTCATCAACAGAGGGTGTGGATTTACCACCAAATAAAAACAAGGCCGTATGAAAACGGATGTCACAGGGAGGAAAATAACAATCATGGATTGTATCATCAACACCAGTGAACATTTGTACTTATACAAGTCATTCTTTATGTGCGCCAAGCTCTGCTACAACATCCATCTGCTGTGAAGAAGACGACAGCGACGCCCAAATCCAAAGATGTAAACTTATCAGGCAAACACGGATACATGCAAGACAAACAGTACATAATAGTTTTTGTAGACTTAAAACTTTTAATTTCATACGTGAGAGTTTCAATTGCTCTTTGTTTATTTTACTGTTTTATTTTCGAAAAAACAAGTTTTACTTGGTTCCCGTTAAGAACCAACTCTTTGGTTCCCAAACGCTCTGAATTCCGGCATGAACACGTGAGTCTGTTCAAGATTAGGGAACCGGCACCGGCACGGTCAGTTTGGAGGTTAAATAATGTTTCTGATGTATTTGTTTGAACATGTTTTGATTTTTATATTGACCTGTCCTAAGTACAGATTATTTATTTTCTGAATTTGATGATTAAGTTGAGACCCCTGTAACAGATCCAAAGTGCCTTTAGGTTTTGCTTTACACACGATGTTTGATTGGAAACTGGCTTTGAATTCATCGTATGAAAAAAATTAGTCCTTGTGTATTGATCAGTTGGTTACCCATACTATACAGTTATCAAACTAGGTTCTGAGAAATAATGATTTATTGTGATGCTTGATTTGTTTGTTTTTCCAACTGTAGCAGCTGGTTGGCAAGAAGCTGTGTTTGTAGATCAGCCTCCAGGAAAGCAACGCCTGCATATGGACCTCTGACAGTTTGAGGGGTAATTTATCCAGTTTGTAATTACAGTTGAGTAAGAACTCAACTCCTCCAATTAGATTTAGTATATATTTAGGAATTTCATTCCATAAGTTTTAAGATAAGTTTTAAACCTTCCACCCCTCCATATCCCTTTTGGTTACATAGTGCATTTCTTATGCACTGTGTAACCAGGTAATGGGCCTTATGTCGCCAAATGAAGTCAAAGAGTCATTTATGTAGTTTCTTACATTACTGGGCATATTCAGGGCCAGAGAAATGTACCAACCCTGAGATTCTCTCAGTCTTTGCCAATAGAATTCTGGCATATTGACAAATCTTGCATTAGCAACATATTGAACCTGGTTTGAACTTGATGAATTAAAAGTTTGAAGTTGAGATTCCAGGGGTTTGTTTGATTATGATCGAGGGAACCCCAAGGTTCTTTTTACAGGGGCACAATACATTTCAACACAAGCACAGTTTTTAAGTAGCAACAGGACAGATATACTTACATTTACACATAACCCAGAATAACCCAGACACCTGTGAGAAATCTCTGATGCAATTAATCACAATACTTACATCTCATTGTGCTATACAAATAAACTTGCCTTGCCTTGCCCGAAATACTGTCCTTTTGACATGAGTAGCCATCATTTGTGCATCAAAGATCAAAGTTCAAAGTTTATTATCAATTCTTGATATGAACATAATACAAATAATCGAAATATGTTTCTCACTTTCCTATGTTTAATAAATAAATAATAAATGGTAAATAGTGCAAAAGGCATATGGTGCTAGTTTGTTTTTGGTTTTTTTTGGAGGAGAGAGAGTTCAGCATCAGCTTGTCAAAGCCTGATCACGTCAGATCTCAGAAGCTCAGCAGGGCCGGGCCTGGTTAGAACTTGGATTGGAGACCACTGGGAAAATCAGGTGCCACAGTGGGGTGCCAGTGGCAGCCGTTGTGTCTTTAGGCAAGGCATTTCACCCACATTGCCTAGTATGAAAGTGGTGTGTGTGTGAGTGATGGTGGTGATTGGAGATTACTGCAGATTGGCAGCCTTGTCAGTCTGCCACAGGGCAGCTGTGGCTACAACAGTTGCTTACCACCACTGAGTGTGGAGTGAATGAATAATGCTCTGTAAAGCATCTTTGAGTGTCCAGGAAAGCACTATAAAAAACTGGTGCATTATTTTATTATTATTATCCTAACAGGGTCTGCATCACTCACAATTGTGATGGCTTTGTGGGTAAGGTGGTGTATATGCAGGTGGTGTATATGTGGGTGGTGTATATGCGGGTGGTGTATATGCGGGCAAGGCAGGTGGTGTATATACAGGTGGTGTATATGTGGGTGAAGCGGGTGGTGTATATGCGGGTGGTGTATATGTGGATGAAGCAGGTGGTGTATATGTGGGTGAAGCGGGTGGTGTATATGCAGGTGGTGTATATGTGGATGAAGCAGGTGGTGTATATGCGGGTGAGGCGGGTGGTGTATATGTGGGTGAAGCAGGTGGTGTATATGTGGGTGAGGAGGGTGGTGTATATGTGGGTGAGGCGGGTGGTGTATATGTGGGTGAGGTGGGTGGTGTATATGGGGGTGAGGCGGGTGGTGAATATGCAGGTGGTGTATATACGTGCGAGGTGGGTGGTGTATATGTGGGTGAAGCGGGTGGTGTATATGTGGGTGGTGTATATGTGGGTGAGGTGGGTGGTGTATATGTGGGTGAAGCAGGTGGTGTATATGTGGGTGAAGCGGG